GGGATTTATATTTCCTCAAAGATTACTACAAGCAACAAGAATCGATCTATTGGTTGAAAGGGAAAAAAGACGTTTACTACAAAGGAAGGGATGTACATTTTCTCAAAGATTACTACAAGCATCAAGAATGGATTTACTGGTTCAAATGGAAGCGCTTTTATGGAAGCCTTTGTGGCATAGAAAGAAACCCAGAATTAGACTGAAAAAGAAATTTAAAAATGTTTAATGGAGTAAAAGGCAATGTTGATTTTATGGAATGTTTTAAGGATAATGATCTAGAACTAGAATTAAGAAAAATGCAATTATATACATGCGTGTTTAAATTAGTAAGTACTTAAATTAATTAGGTGATTTTTGTGTATAATAATATGATTTGATAAGGTATGATAATTAATTGGATGGAATTTGAAGTTTGTGTAATGAATTGAAAGGAATTGAGGTTTAACATTATTATTTCTTTTCTTTTTTCTTTTCTCTTAATTAAGTCAGTTATAACTATATACATATGTGTTTAAATTAGATGCTTTTTTGTTGTATGGAATGGTTTGGATAAAAGAACCTTGGCTTTATGGATTGTATTAAGGATAAAAAATATATAATCATATACATACATATATATGTGTGTGTGTGTGTGTGTGTTCTCTAGTTGAAAAAAATGTTCAGTCATGAGAATGTAATTTTGAAGTGCTTAAATTGATTAGGTAACTTTTGCCTATATATGATCTGATAAGGTATGATAACTAATTGGATATCTGAAGTTTGAGTAATGAATTGAAAGGAATTAAGGTTTAACACTGTTTTTTTTAATTAAGTTAGTTATCACTGGAAGAAGAAATGAATGAGATTGGTGATAAGAAGAGGGCTGAGAGAGATTAAAAACTTCAATATACATGGTAGAGATACTTGATGTGATAATTTGTTGATGTAAAACAATATTTCATTATGGTAATTTTAAATTGATAAAGCTTTAAAACAGGTGGAGTAGTAACAGAAATTTAAGCTAGAAATGGAATATATTAAATCTATTATGTTACCTGTGAGAAATAGAGAGATGATAGTGAATGTATTAAGTTGAGCTGTTTATGTATGTTTTTTACCTTGAACTGTTTGTTTACCCAAACATCACGGTGTGTCTAAAGTACTTTTCGTTAAAATTAAAAAAAACAATAAAATATATTTTAAAAAAAATATTGAAGTAGGACAATAAAGTATGAGAGAAAAATTAAAACAAAACCAGTGCTTAAATTGGGTACTAAGGATGGTTCTATGATTTTGGTAGGTGTTTAAGTTCAAAATAAGTTTACACAAAGGAAATAACTATTAATTTCCACTAACGTAACTTAAAATGATACAATAGTTTAGTTTCTAAGAAACACAGTGTTTCTGCCAAGGTGTTGTGGGAAGTCAGCACCTCCTCCCCCAGAGAATGAAATATTAAAAGAGGCAGGATAGAATATTTCCCCTGAAGGAGAAATGGAGATAAACTTTTAAGCAGAAAAAGGCCCCAGTCTCCCTTTCCTGAGGCAGAAACCTGAGGAGGTCACTCTTTAAAAATGCAGATTTGGTAATCCATTCAGAAAGACTGGGGCACAGTATTCATAAGCAAAAGCCTTTAGCCCCTACAACTGATGGGATTAAGAATTTGCATTCCCCCACTCAGCTCCAAGGACAGGACATGACCTTTAGGACGTAACAGGATTAACTCACTACCATTAGACTAGTAAAAGACACAAAAGCCCACCTCATTGCACAACCCAGAAACATTTCCACTTCAAAGTCTCAGAGGCCTATATAGATCCACCCACTCTCAACTTCATTTGGTCAGCTGTCCCAGAACTGCATGCTGTTGCTGGTTCTGCTCATCATTAAAACCTTCTTTCCAAACAGCTAGTCTCCATTTTATTTCCAGCATCTTAGCCTCCATTTTATTTACTCCCAGCTTGGAACTGGACCTGATTATTTTTCTTTCAATAGTACCCTTTGATAATAATACATATAAATGGAGTTAACACAGTGCTTCTCAACGTTTGTGTGACAGCGACCCCCATCACACAAACGTTCTGCGCATGCGCGGCACCGCGCGCATGGGGGCGGAGCCCCCATGAGGGTGCGCATGCGCGACGCCCCCCATGCGTGGCGCGTGTGCACGGCGCCGCCCCATGCATGACGCGCATGCGTGGCGCCGCCCCATGCACGGCGTGCATGCACGGCGCCGCCCCCCCGCGTGGCGCACGTGCACGGCGCCGCCCCATGTGCGGCGCGCATGCGTGGCTCCGCCCCATGCGCGGCGCACGTGCACGGCACCGCGAAAAATGGCGGATCGCCACCTTTGGCGACCCCCGAAAAATGGTCGATCAACCCCAAATGGGGTCGCGACCCATAGGTTGAGAACTGCTGAGTTAACAGAAATGGCTAAATTGACTGTTTTGATAAAAGAAAAAAAACATAAGTACTTTTGTTTCTACTTGGAAACCACTTCTAGACTTGAGTGCTTGAGATGGAAAAAATGAAACTTTGATTTTGGTTTTACTGATAAGAAAGATTTGTTAATATAGAAATGGCTAGTTTATACTATCATGTAAAGTAAAGAGTTGAGATTTGATATTACTATCTTATTTTATTGCACCAAAGGGAGTCGGAAGTCAACACCTTTTCTTTCTTTCTATGTCTATCTACATAATAGACAAAGTGCTAATTTATTTTTCCATGAGACGTACAGAAGCAATTTTCAACAAGAAGCTAAAATTGTTATCTATTTGACAATGCTTTTCTCTCCACCAGAATTTGGCTTCTATATTTGCCATGTCATGCCTGTGTCATCAGCCTATAATTAGAAACTGTCTGAGAAGTTATAAAAAACACAACCAAGACTTACAGGCAAAATTCCTTTTTCATTCCTGTACATACTGTATGCATCAGCAGAAAAGTTCTGTTTTCAGAATGTGGCTCATATTGAGGCCCCAAGCTTCAGGCCAGCGTTTCTCAACCTCAGCAACTTTAAGATGTATGGACTACAACTCTTGGAATTCCCCAGCCACTTGGAATTGTAACAGTATTGTCAAATACATAACAAATTTAGCCTCTTGTTGAAAATTTCTTCTGTAAGTCTCATGAAAAAAAATTATAAATTATAAAAATTATAAATTTTACCCAGAAGTATTAGGAACGGTGGATTTATGTTATCTTTTATTAGATAAATATTTTATTATAGAAAATAATACATACATATAATTTAATACTAAATATTAACATTAATAATCATGCCAAATATGTAATATTAACTTTATATTTCTGAAAAATATGTCTTTCTTTTATTCCTTTCCTGAATACTTATTCATAAATGTAAATCAGATTAGATTTACTGCATAATTAATTATTGTTCCCCCTATTTACTAACATCCCAGGTCTTATTTAGCTAAATGGTGTTATTCCTACTAATGGGCATATTAACATGGTTGGAAAAGCCCAAATTTTGCACAAGAACAAAGCAAATCCATAATAACTACTCACACACTTATAAGATAAAGGACCTGAAAACTTTTTGTGACTACCAGGGTATATCCAAATAGGGTTTTTGATCAATATTTGCCATAGGAAAAAAAAGTAGATAAAAACATAAGCAAAATAGATTTGAAGGTTTGGATCAGGCCAACTGACAACCAGACATAAAGTTTCAAGTTTTTCCCAACTCAACTTTTTAACTACATTCCCAGCAAAATGTTTTTTTGTCTGTATTGCCACCTAGCTATCAAACAAGAAATTATATTGTGTTCTTACTGCTTACAGATAGAATGTAAGGGACTCAAAAGTTATTGAAACCAAACATTTTGTTCTGACAGCTTCATTTCAGAATCAGAATAGAGCTGGAAGGGACATTGGAGGTCTTCTAGTCTAGCCCTCTGGTCAAGCAGGAGAACCTATACCATTTCAGATAAGTGACTGTCTGGCTTCTTCTTAAAGACCTCCAGTGATGGAGCACCCACGATTTCTGAAGGCAAGCTGTTTCACTGGTTAAATGTCCTCACTGTTAGGAAGTTTCTTCTTAATTCCAGATTGTTTCTCTCTTTGATTAGTTTCCAACCATCGTTTCTTGTCCTGCCCTCTGGTGCTTTGGAGAATAATTTGACCCTCTCTTCTTTGTGGCAGCCCCTCAAATACTGGAATACTGCTATTATGTCACCCCTATTTTTTCTTTTCTTCAGACTAGCCAAACCTAAATCCTGCAGCTGTTCATCATATGTTTTAGTCACCAGCCCTTTGATCATGTTAATTTCAAAGAGGTTTACATACAAAAATCAAGCGGTTTAAGCTGCAATGCTTATCATAGACTTCGATAAGCTAAACCTGAATTCATCAGAAAGACGGCTCATGAAGTTGAGGCTCTACTTGGAAGCAGAGCATGATCACTGACTGTAGAGAAAATACCCTGCATATTTCATGTTAAACAGTTGTTTTATTAACTTTATAAATGTTCCAAGAATGTTAGTTATCCCAAAAGACAACTTCTGTGTCTACTCTTGATAAATTCCTATTGCTTATAAATGGTGTAAATTCATTTTAAATAAACTGACAAAGCCACAAATTCCCCGGTCAAAATGTGCGGTACTATTATTTGATCACCTCTTTCTTATGGAGTTATCCATTGTTTGATGAATAAGCCACAATGATTTCATTCACACAACATGCTACACCAAAAACTAACCGTATTGCGGCTAAGAGCAAAGGGTGAATCAAAAGTTTAATACAATTCATAATCATTGCCAAAGCCAAATTCCCACATCTGTAAACATTTCGGAACGGAACTACTTTTTAATTCATTCAGGTTCCATCACGGCTATACAACTTGATTTGTTTTTTAAACTGCCTTGTAAATAATGTCTGAATACCTTAATCAAAGAGGACCGATAGAGCTACTTCTGTTCTATCTCTATGTTCTCCGGCGTCCGGGTCAAAGACGTCAGAGCAAGCAATCCCGGCTTCCGGGTAAGGCGTGTTGGCTTTCCGTGCTGGTACGGTAGACGCGTGAATGTTGAGACCTTGGTTTCTGTTGTGTCCGTGCGTATCTTCTTTTGACCTCCGTCCCTGCAATCAGGTTGCAATGAAGTTTCCTTTCTGTGTTCATGTGTTCAGTCTTTGCCGATTTAATGTCCTGTCCTATGAAGGAAATCACATTGGAGAAGCAACTCTGCTGCTTCAAATGCACTTCTTTTTTTTAAAAAAAATCACTTAGCTCTTTTAATGCATGGATTTTATATAATAATTGCAGTTATTGCTGCACCGTCTTCCAGATTACCTTTTGTTTATTGCTAAATCTTTATTGCAGCTTTCCTCCCCCCCCCAAAAAAAAACCATCTGCCTTTAAATATCCAATCTAGCAAAAGGAAATTATTTCTTTGATGTGATTGAATCTCATTCAGTAGGAGCAAATACAGGATGGCGTGATGCATTTTTTTTAGCCAGCAACTGTTAAAAAAATGCTACAGGGGGCAGGAGTAAAAGGAAGGGTACATGTTTGCGGTATTATTTAGTTGTTAGATTTGTACATCCTCTATCTCAGTTTTTAACTACCTACGGAAGCGATCCCCAACCCAAATGCTCTCCAGATGTTTGGAATGATAACTTCCATCATCCACTGAAGATAGGGGACAGATGATGATAAGAATTGAAGGCCAACCCCGTTGGAGAGCACCAGGTTAGAGAAAGCTGAGTTAAAGCAATCATGTTGCTAACTTTTTCTTCCTTTTTTCTCACTAGAAATTTGGACTTGAAACTCCTCATTTGAAGATATACACACACACACATATATATAGTAAGTGAGTTGCCTTGGTGATGAAAAATCTCTGTGTGAAGGTGCATCAATTGTCAAAATCTAGCAGATATATCAGCCTAATACAGAGATGGCTTATGACCCAAAGCAGGATTCCTGTACAATATGCTTCATTTTCAGAAGTTCAGCAGCTCCCTGAAAAACAGTTTAGTGCCATAACTTTTCCTCTCCAAGATCTGGCAAGATTCTTGTCTCCTAATGTGGACACATCATCCTTCTACATTTTCCGACCTAACAAGAATGACGTCCAGAGAGCAGAGATATTTTTCATTCCGTCACATCAACATATTATTGATTATTCCACTTCTGCTGTCCGGATGGATCATGCCCCACAAATGTCTGAACCTGAGGTGAGATCAATGAAAAGGAGGTTCCATTTTTATTATTTAGGTTTAAGAGGAAGGAGGACAAATGGAATCAAAATTATGCTATTTGACATGTTGAGCAGGGAATCGCATATGGAGGAAAGAAAGGAGTTTCTAAAAGTCCAGGTTATAGAAATATTTTTTTAATTACAGAATTATCTCTATTATTGTAAACAAATATTTGGTCCTTGTGATGTGGATGCTGCCCAAATAGCAGACTTGCAAATGTAACTCTGTTGATGGACCATTAAGAGATTAAATATCTACTTAATCATTTATTGTTTCTTTATAAATGACTCAAAGATAAACACAGGCTGATTCATACTGTCTCTGTTTATCTCTTTTTATTTTACATCAGTGTTGTCCTTCAAGGTACTTATCTGGCTTTGTAAGAAATATAATCCAAATTCATTTTTGTTTGTTGTTGCTTTGGTTTTTAAAGGGAAGATCCACAAAACAAAAATAGTAGCAACTATAAATAAAGCTAATCTTGTAACATTGGCAACTCAATGAAAACAACTGTAGTTCAGGACTGAAATTATTATTTGAGTGCACATATTTCTCCCATATTTTCTTCTTTTAAATTATGTACATCAGTATTACCTTAGTCTTACAGGAATTTGGGGACAAGTTTGAAACACTAAGATAACTCCTATCATTTTATTGTAGCTTAGGAAGTTTTGTGAGCTTGAATTAAAAAATACTGATCCTGGCTAGCTAAAATGTCAGAAATGGGTTAACTTCACTTGTTTAGCTAGAAAGTAGAGTTTAAACACTGGAGTCTAACCCATCTTCTCAGTCTTAGCTCTGCCTTTTGCAAGAGAGGAAGGACTTCTTCTTGGCTTCATTTAATTTACATGAATGAAGAACTGAGAGAAAGAGGATTTAGGAATTTTATTGAGGAGGAGGAAGGAAGAAGAGTCATAGGGAGAGAAGCAACACAAGCATTTGCTCATGTGAGGCAACCAGCAAGGACAAGATTCCAGCTCTTTGTTCACAATGACATCATGAGGAAGGATGGATTGGTATTTAGTAGTTGCAGAGATGGCAACTAATCAGGAAAGCTCTGTCATTTTGTAAAAGAAGCAAACAGCATGACAAGTATGTTCTAACTTGTGTGGAGGGGGATTTTTCTCACCTGATTCACTGCTCTGTTTTGAGTACTAGTTGAGGGTAACCAGAAAATACTTGGCGCTCAGGAGCAGCTACCCCCTCAAAAGTGACATAAAGAGGATTGGTCACTATACCACTTGGTAATCAGCACTTATGGCTGTGGATGACGAGAAGTTGTGGATAGGTAGTAGGAACTGCTTGGTTCCAACTATAATACCTTCCAAAACACATACCTCCCTTCCCTAACAGGAGACTGCAGATGGTCCACGATTGATCTCCAAGTGACCTTCTATACAAGTGTTAACCAGCAGACAGAGATAGAGGTAGCATAGAGATCGTCAGGAAGGTTTTTCCCACCCTGGGTGAAGCAAATCACGTAAGCAGATCTGCTGCCTTCTCTTCACTAGAATGGCACATGAACAGGAGCACAGAGCTAGAAGAGGAGAGCAATTCAAGTCTTACCTAGTCCTCTTAGAGTGGTTCTGTGGGACTTGGGGAAAAACAATTTCTCAATGGAGACAATTTGTACCTCTATAGAGGGGACTTTCTAAAGTCCTCTAGCCATCAAGAGAAGCAGCATCACAAATGGAAGTATCTGTAATGTTCATAACATTTTTGGAATGGTCAAAAGCAATGATGGCACCTCCAGGTTCAGAAGTTTTTCCAATTGGCCTCAGAAGAAGTCCAAAGGATAGATTTCCCCTATCAGAAAGCAAGAAACTTTATGCCTGAATGTAGCACCGGCTTACTAAATTCAGCAATAGAAAACATCCTAATATTTAAATGTTCAGCAACTAAGTACAGTAGGTGCTCTGGTTAAATTTGGCAGCTATTCAGATGATGGCGGCAACGTCAGTGGGAAGCACGTAATGTCTGGGTTTCCTGTGATTGAACTAGACTAGCACATTGACTTGGATTCTTACACAGATTAAGAGGATGCCAAAGAGCATACACCATCCGGAGTCTTTGGGAATCAGGAAGCATATAAATTTAATAATGATGATGATGATGATGATGAAGCTTGCTCTGTCGGAAAAATGACTGCATCAGCAGCTCCGCAGCATGGCTTCCCTTGATTGATATTGTACTTTTACTGAACTCTGTAAGATAAGTATGTATCAGCAAAGATAGCTTCAGATGCTCTCATCTACAGAGAGTGTTGTAATTTATACTGACCTCCTGTTACTATAAAGTATCTTATTCCTGTCAGCTCCAACATCAGGTCCCCAAGAACAGTGTTTGGTATTATGTTAAGCACCTTCTGATCACAAAAACAGGGACCAGCAGTCTTGCCCTAGTGAAAATTACATACAGCTTGCTGTGTTCTAGAAGAAATACTGAACCACCTGATTTGTTGCTTAGCTAGCATTTGCTTATAAATTATAACTGTGTCAGTTTGTGTGAATTTGGTTTAATAATTAAAAAAACACATCTTAGACTGTCTTTTGGATGAAGTCGCTTAAGGTGACTGCTGATGAGACCTTAACTTCCTTTGGGTGGCAGCAAAGTTTAAACCTTGATGCTAGCAAGAGAAGAAATAACCAATTTGTGTCAGGACCACGTTTTGGAGACCAGAAGGAGTGTTTAAGTACAGTTCTGATTATTTCAAATATATGATTAGATCCCAATTGTCCCCTCTCCATATGCGAGGCCAAGACAAAATGCCTCCCATTGACTGATTCCTCCTTAAAAAGATCGTGGATACAGTGTTACAATGCAGCCTAAGATTCATAAAAGAATAAAATTAGAATATGGTTTTCATATGCTCACTCTCTATTAAGAATTTGCTTCTGGATTACTGAATGGCCCATAGAATTTCTCAACGGTTTCCATTTCCTAGAAGGACTACTGTACATGTCTTCTATAAATGTTCTTACATTTTGCAAACCTTGAGATTTCTGTAGGGCTACAAAAAAAGTGTTTTCATCAGGAATTCCATCTGTGTACATTGCTGGACCCAGGCCCCCTTTCAGGACTCTGCAGAGATTAGGTTGATATTAAAGACACCAGCTTCCTGATACTAACCAACACATCTGGAGAGCTCCAGGCTACTATCAACATGCCTTGTTTAAATGATGTATCTTTTATTGCATCATGAACGGAATAGTGAAATCACTCTAACTTTCTCTTCTAGGTTTGCTTTTTAGGAAGAAGCAATGTTGGGAAATCATCTTTAATAAAAGCATTGTTTTCATTGGCACCTGATGTTGAAGTCAGAATTTCCAAACATCCCGTAAGTTTCCTGTGAAGATAGATTACATTCACCTTCAAAATGAATAAAGCAAAAGCAAGACAAGTTATATCTGTATTGTGAAACTTTTGTATCTGAAATAATATAGTTTTAAGGGCAGGTGTTAGGAAATTTTTGAATAAGTGCATTATACACATTTAACACAGTTTCATAATTAGAGGGTGAAAATTTTAAAGTGTTAGGTGCCTGTATTAATGAGGGATTACAGAATATGCAAATAATATACATGTTGTTCCGTCCAGTCAACCTATTCAAGTTTTATTCATCATAAATAGGGTTACAGGAATATATCCCGGTCTTATACCAAACTTTCTCATGTGTGAATTTGAGTAGAATACTCCATGGGACCTGGGACTCTGCTTTTATCAGGGTTTTCAATAATGGGCAAATGTTTAGTTTGTATCCCAGAAACTTAAACAGAAAATCTGCTTGATCTGGTGAGATTGAGAATTTACATGGCAGACCTGTAAATACTACACAGGCGTATTTCTTTATTATATTGAGGCCTAAAATATATATGTATAAAGTTTCTGTTAAGTTGGGAACAGGTTAGTGTTCTCAAGATACTCTGGATATAGCTCCAAACTAGCTCCATCCATTGGCTACCCTGGCTGAAAATATTGCCTGAAAATTGAAACTACTTCAGTTGTTTTAATAGCATTTCAAAGTGAGATCCATATAAACAAACACTTTTTACTCCATTCTAGGTACTTTGCAGCACTGCAGTATTGCTTCAAAAATGAATCGGCTGTATATCTACAATCTACAAATTTATATTCTATTTTATTTCATGTTCAGGACATGGCAGATAAATTTTTAGGCTTTGTTGTGAATTTATGATATTTTTACAAGTACATTTTAAATAAGTTCATAGATTCCATAATGCTTTATTTGAAAGAAATAAGGAAGAAAAAGCTCCTCTTTTTTTTCCAGGGCCACACAAAGAAAATGAATTTTTTCAAAGTGGGAAAACTCTTCACTTTGGTGGATATGCCAGGCTACGGGTTTAATGCACCCAAAGATTTTGCAGAGATGGTGGAGCCTTATTTAACTCAACGCACAAAGTAAGATTGAATATTATAATCTTTTCTGTGGGGTTAGGAAAGGGAACAGTTGTAAAATTTAGAGACGTGTACTTCGGCATACAAAACAATGTTTAGGTGAATCAGCTATTCAATATGGCTAAGATACAATGCTGTTATAATTACTATTTACAAATAATTCCTAAGGTATGTGTGAAGCCATATTGCTCATATTTGCTGAGTCACTTCAATTCTATGTGAAGCAGGATATTTTCTCAAAAAAACAAAATGTATCTTCACTCAAAATGATGGTTACCTCTGTTGTCCTCCCAAAGGAGAATTTACCACATAATAATGGTAGAAATGTACAGTAAAATGAGAATATAAATGTTTCTGAATAACTGAAAAATTAGGAATCGAAACCACCTATTTCTCATACTTGACTGTTATTTTTTTTTCCTATTATGGTTATGTGAAGTTGTGGCTCGTGTTTCTATTTTCTGCAGTTTGAAGCGTACATTCTTATTAGTAGATGCTAAAGAAGGAATTCAGGAAATGGACAACATTGCTCTAGAAATGTTAGAAGAATTTGGGATTCCTTATGTTGTAAGTAGCAACACTTGCTTTAAAACAATGAGTGTGCATTATTAAGATTCTCTAAAAATCATACAACAGTAACTGGAAAGCATAAACACCATCTAGCCAGACCTATTGATTCTGTCTAAGACAATGTTTCTCAACCATAGCAATATGTGCTGACTGGGAATTCTGATAGTTGAAGTCCACACATCTTAAAGTTGTTAAGGTTTAGAAATATTGGATAATTTAAAAAGAAACTCACGAAAAAATGGAAGCAGCCAATTTTTTTAGGAATTATATTCCAGCTTAGTAAGAAATGTGCATGGAAACAATAAAATTATATTTGTAATTAAAATTCTGCTCTCACCAACTGGGGTTTTAAAATTGTACTAAAATGTATGCAGTATTTTAACCATCATATTCATAGAAATTAATTTGGAAATATAATGGCAAAATGAATACATTTCCTTCCATCTTAAAATAAGTTGTTCAATCTTGACATAAACTCTTTTGCTCCAACATAATCTGTTCTGAATATTAGCTTAAACGAAGACGGCATTACCTGTCAAGAAATGAATTTTTTAAGCATTAAAATTGAATACCTCTGCCTATATTATGTGCTTCCTTTATCACTGACTTGTGGACTTCATTTGTTAAGAAGTATATAGTGGATATAAAAAATCTACACCCCTGTTCAGTTTGTTTTTCAGTTGAATTGTACATATTATCTGTTATATTAAAAATGGAAAAAATGTGAAATGATTTATCTTGGTCTGCTTTTTTTTATATCTCAAAAACCTGGCATCATAAGGGTGCGTAGACTGTTTATATCTCTTGTAAGTGCATAGAATTTGACCCAAAATTAGTTCTATTTAACCTCACTATCATAACTTGTTCTAGTTCTTTCAGCAGGATTTAAATAAAGCTATTGTAATTTAGTCTATATCTAACCATGGCAGTTGATTGTTTGACCCATATAGATTGCTCAGTTAGGCTGTATATTTTTTTGTTGTTGTTAATTGCGAAGTCGTGTCCGACCCATCGCGACCCCATGGACAACGTTCCTCCAGGTCTTCCTGTCCTCTACCATCTTCTGGAGTCCATTTAAGTTCACACCTACTGCTTCAGTGACTCCATCCAGCCATCTCATTCTCTGTCGTCCCCTTCTTCTATTGCCCTCAATCTTTCCCAGCATTAGGCCCTTCTCCAGTGAGTCCTTCCTTCTCATTAGGTGGCCAAAGTATTTGAGTTTCAACTTCAGGATCTGGCCTTCTAAAGAGCAGTCGGGGTTGATCTCTTCTAGGACTGACCGGTTTGAATGCCTTGCAGTCCAAGGGACTCGCAGGAGTCTTCTCCAGCACCATAGTTCAAAGGCCTCAATTCTTTTGCGCTCAGCCTTTCTTATGGTCCAACTTTCACAGCCATACATTGCAACTGGTAAAACCATGGCCTGGACTATACGTACTTTTGTTGGCAGGGTGATGTCTCTGCTTTTTAGAATGCTGTCTAGATTTGCCATAGCTTTCCTCCCCAGGAGCAAGCGTCTTTTAATTTCTTGGCTGCGGTCCCCATCTGAGGTGATCTTGGAGAAAAATAAAATCTGTCACTACCTCCATTTCTTCCCCATCTATTTGCCAGGAATTGAGAGGGCCAGATGCCATGATTTTGGTTTTCTTAATGTTGAGTTTCAAGCCAACTTTTGCACTCTCCTTCTTCACCCGCATCAAGAGGCTCTTTAGTTCCTCTTCACTTTCTGCCATTAGAGTGGTATCATCTGCATATCTTAGGTTGTTGATATTTCTCCCGGCAATCTTAATTCCAACTTTTGATTCATCTAGCCCTGCCTTTCTCATGATGTGCTCTGCATATAAGTTAAATAGGCAGGGCGACAGTATACAGCCTTGCCGGACTCCTTTTCCAATTTTGAACCAATCAGTGGTTCCGTGTCCAGTTCTCACTGTTGCTTCTTGATCCGCATATAGGTTTCTCAAGAGACAAATGAGATGGTCTGGTACTCCCATCTCTTTAAGAACTTGCCACAATTTGTTGTGATCTACACAATCAAAGGCTTTTGCATAGTCAATGAAGCAGAAGTAGATGTTTTTCTGGAACTCCCTAGCTTTCTCCATGATCCAGCGTATGTTGGCAATTTGATCTCTAGTGTATTTTTTTAGATAGAGATAAACTTGTTGGTGAAATTTAGATTAAAAAAACATATTTTAAAGTAGAAAAAGTTGGAAGAGGAAAGGCCAGGATCTCATTCTTGTAAAGAACAGCCTTTGAGTATCCCTAACCTAATTCATTGCTAAACTCAAAAATAATTTAAGGTTTCGAAAAGTTGTTTTAAGCTATTTTTGGTGGGTATGTTTTTGTCTTTTGGCAGCTTGTATTAACCAAAATTGACAAAGCATCAAAATCAGCGATGGCAAAAACGGTTATACAGATTCAGGACTTCGTACAGAAAAATGCTCACACATGTTTTCCTCAACTTTTTCCTATCAGGTAACAGCTAACAACGTCATGTTGTTGTTGTTGTTTTTTTTTTGAAATAATATGAAGTAGTTTGGCATTGTCTTGTATCAAAGTATGAGTTTCAGTTGCTACTTGCTACCAATCTAATGTACAACCTGCCTTATCTCAGTTTTCCATCCCAATACTTAGCAAAGCTGACTGCTCAGGACCATGAGATCAGCTAAGGTTGACTAGGTGTTTCCATTTAACTGAATCTAAACTCTAAAAAATAGTTGTTCCTCAAGCAAAGGCAGCAAGAGCAAGAATAGTGAACTAATGCAAAGTAATTTATTTTTATGAGACTACTAATACAATATTTCTATCTTTGTTTCCACAGTTCTTTGAATTATACTGGAATCCATGTATTAAGATGTTTCATAGCTCATGTTACTGGAAATCTTCCATTATCCACTGAATAAAGCATTATACTTGGAAGCATCTTGCTACATGCTGTATAAATATAAATTATTTTGGAACAATACTATGTAAATTCAGTATTTTTACATAAATACATATGTACATGTATATATATATATATACACACTTGCATTGATTAAATGTGAATTTCAAAGATTAAATGTTATGCTTAGAAGTAGGAAAAGAGAGATCAAGTAAATCAAATTATGAGAAATGGAAGACCCTTGAGTCTTTTTAGCTTTGAAAGTTGAAAGATATGACAAGCAGGTCCTGAATGGATAACACACAATGCCTCAAAACCTTCTTTCTTTCAACACAGTGCAAATCTCAGAATAAAGAATTTAAGCTAAAAAAGACAAATTCCAACAGAAGATTAAAAAATACATTCAATAATAGTTTGACAGTGGAATCAGTTACAAATGACGTAATAAGCCCTATTTGTTAGATACTGTATGTCAGACATGTCAAACTTGCGATGTCACATGACACCGCGCAACGTATCAGGACGGTTTTGCCATTGCCGGCAATGGGGTGGGCACGGCTTCCAGATGATGTGTCCAGCCCACGGGCCGGCAGTTTGACACCGCTGCTGGATGTTAAAGCAAAGATTGAACTGCCACCAAGGGGATGCTTTTAATTTGAAGTAGAATGAGTACCAGGCTGCTTGTAATGGTCTAAGCCAGTGGTTCTCAACCTTTTTAATGCCGTGACCCCCAATTGGTCGTAAGTCAAGGACTACTCAACTGGTCGTAAGTCAAGGACTACTCAATTGGTGCAGCACCGTTTGCAGAATGGGACTTTTGGCGGGCTCAGCAGGGCAGAGACAGCCTGGACAATTCCTATTGGCTTTTGAAAGCCAATAGAACTAGACTCTATTCAAGAGAGTCTATTCTATTGGCTTTCAAAAGCCAGTAGAATAAAAGGGAGTAGCACAGCTAAGGAAAAGGGGAAAAAAATGGCGGACTGCGTTTGGTGACCCCCATGAAATGGTCGTTCGACCCCAAATGGGGTCCCGACCCACAGGTTGAGAACCACTGGTCTAAGCAGTCCTTTTCAATTCTATAATTGGGCTATTCTACAGATTATTTAGATGTGCAAGGATTGCTTTTGCATAAACAACCTTATCTTAGTCTACTTGGGCATGGGGTGGAAAAATAAGAGAAAATAATTTGCTTGTTTATTTTGTACAGCGAAAGAATATATTTTATTGAATTATTTTTTAAAATAAACGTATTTATGTGGAAACAAAAGACCCAGCACAATTCTACTGCATGCAATGTGGACTTTCTTATACAGTCAAAAGCATTCCTTCCTAAAGTGGTCAGCTTGTTGATAAGATTACTCATATCTGATTACCTCAAATGCACAACTTCTCTAATTAGCTTGGTAATGCCATCAGAGGCATATGATAGGGCTAAAGCATCCAGGTGGCTGATGCGTCTTAGTCTGCGGTTCTAAGTACTTTACTCTGCTTAAAACTGTATTATTTTCAACTCTACTATTAATTTTCAACAGCAAATGGATTTTAGCAGTCATTTCATGATTGGTGTCATTTTAATTTCCAATCCTCTTTTTCCTATCAGGTAAGCAGCTTACTCTTTATGTTTCTTGGAATTAAGACCAAATGCAATAGGTAAATGATTTAATAATGGCAGAATTTTTCAGAAGGAAGTCCAGTTTGTGGGCTCAAAATGAGCAACACAGAAGTAATTCATGTTTACATTAATATAGAGATAATATGCATTACCCTGCATACATCCACACATGTACTCACAATATTAATTCCACAGTATGTTGCATCTTAATGCATATTCTGATATGTTAATTTCATAAACTCAAAATAGTTGGAAATGGAATATCAGGGAGGAGATCAGTATTCCCTGAATATGTCAATATTAGAAGATAAAACCATAAAGGATGTTTATCCTGATAAAAGACAATAATAAGCTTTGATCCAAGCTTTTGATTTTTTAAGCTTCTGCTTCTACTTTGGCAAAAGGCAGAAAATGGCAAATAAGAAAATGTGGCTGTTTACATAACACATTAAGCCAAATTTCTTCTGATTTATATAGGGTTATTACATGAACTCAGTTTTGATGTATACAGCATTCCATTATTAAGCCAAACATAGCGTTGTATTTATGAACACTGGAAAGTGGTACCTTAGGTAGAGAAATCAAAACAGCAAACCTGACTTAATTTATCATTTATTGTTTAATATTTCAAAGTTACTTTTCTCTTTGTACCTAAACGTTAGGGCTATAAATCAGGGCTGGAAAGATCCAGATAATTACAAGAAGGCAGGCAGCCCCGAGTGCGCGTTTTCTGTATCTGTTGGCCGCTCTACGGCGTCCGTGCAGATGCTTGCAACCAGATGCGGAAGCCACTGGAGAATACCTTCGAATGCGGGTCATTCTAAAGGTTGCGCATGCGTAACTTGCCCAATGAAGCCGGTGGAAGAGGAACCGAAGGCCTATTATATTAATTTGCCAAAGGCGCATGCGCAGTTGAACGTTAGCCTTCCGGATTGAAGCGGAGAGGAAGAGTTGTTAGTCAGAAACGGTCTTTGATTTTGTAACTGGAAAGAGGTAATTCCTGATGTAACATGGCCGACGAAGAAGAGGACCCACCTGTAAGTGAAGCCGAAGCATAAGATGTTGAGTAGCCTAAAAGGTGTAAACCGTGATTAAGGACCAACTGGGATGCTGGCCGAAGTGGCAGCTGCTGGTTTCGGAAAAGGAAAGCGGCGCCCCCGCCTCCCCTAAATTCCCCGGGGATGCTGGAGTCAGTCGTAGCCATCGGTTGGAGAAGCCTGAAGTTTTAATCCAGGGTTTATTGGGTTATTATTCGCATTAAATCTAGATCCTGTTCGTTGATGACAGCGCATCACTTTGAAAAATGAGCAGGAAAAACCTGTAATAAGATGCTGTGAAATAATTCACTTGAAATAAGTCCAAATGAAATGTTTTATTCACTGGATTTCGGAATGTAAGATTCCAATCTAGATTCATTTTATGCAAACAAAACTGGCAATTAAAATTCCCTGGGCATTATGAGATTTACAGGTAGATAAACTTGAATTTGGTTTTACATTTTCTGATGTAATCCTTCTGTAAATACAAGGCAATTCCCAGTAATCTCATAGATCATAGAATCATATGACTGGAAAGGAACTTGGAGGTCTTCTAGTCCAACCCTCTGCTAAAGGCAGGAGCCCTGTAGCATCCCAGTTAAACGGTTGTTAAGGAAGTTTATTGTGGAATTAACATGTACTAAGTGTGGGCCAGCAATGTATGCCTTACAAATCCTTAGATTCTTCCTTCTATTATTATTTTTGTACTTTCATTACATCTGCTTACCATTTCCTTCATTACTAACCATGGGCTATGCTGGCTATAATTGTTGGAAGTTATAATCCAGAACATCTGAGAAGAATCACATTTCATAGTGGCATGATGCTTTGCAAACTAATATCAAACATACAATCTCTCTCATTCAAAATGCATACACAATAAGATTTGTTCCACAGGACTTCCCTTTGGTTTGGTACAGCTGTATGTGTTTGATTATGGACATTTTTTTTATTCTTATAGATTCATGGCATATAAATGAGGTTATAAATTTAAACCTTGATTCAAATTAGTTGGTGAAGGGCAAAAATACTATAAATAAAGCTTGCTTTGCTTATAGATTTTGCAAAAAAAATTTTTTTTAATTATATTTTCTCTTTCTCCACCACTCACTTGGAGCGTTAAATATTTTGGATGTCTATGACAAAGTCACAAACTTTAACAAAATGGAACACAATCCCCACCTCACTGGTTTTTAGCAATCTGCTTCTGCTATATAAGGTTTCCTATATATATAGTCAGCATATTTAACAACTGTTTAGAAACTACTATTTTTTTCTAATTAGTTTTAGAGTAGCTCAAACAGATCAGTACCTTTACATGCTGAAATATATTAGAGTAAACATCTGTATTCAAAGTGGAACAAATGATTTGGAATATGGACAGTTATGTTGCATCTTTTATTATTGACATTTTGTCAAATCATATGCATCTTTTCTTGGAGTTGCACAGCAAGATGCAGCTTGAGGAGTTGTCAATATGTGCAACACAAGTACCAACACAGGTTAAGAATCACCTTTTCTTCTTTCATTCCAAATTGCTGCACATTCCTGTGCTAAGAATTATGAATATATAGAGTTGTTCCTATTCATTTTTCCATAGTATTCTGTTTTTGCTCAAAGTGCCTTTTTTCTCAGTTATCGTAACTTTCTCTGAAATGAGTTACTCTAGTCTGGTTATCATTTGGATTACCCTTCTAGGTTTTTAATATCATTTTAATGTACTGTGGACAGAACTGTATAGTATTCAGACATTTTCATAAAGGCATTACTGTAGTCTGTTAATAAGTTTTATTTTAGATTCTTCAAATGATATGTAACATGCCTTTTTCAGTTGCCATGTTTTCAGATGTTTTTATGAACTTTGCTTATAGCACCCCAAGATTCTAGCTGAGATCAGTGTGAAAGTTGTTTTTTATGTCTGTAAGCATAATTTCATATTTGTTTACAATAAACTTATTTTCATATTGTATGAATTGTTTATTCATATTGTACAAATTGTTTATTTCCTCCAACTTCAAGAGATATTTTAAAACCCTTTGCTGTCTCTCTGCTTTTAACCATCCTAATAATCCTAATTTTGCATTTATTATCTATAGTTTGAAGAAGATACTGAAGAAACAGGAGGAGGGCCAGATGGTGGACAGGGAAAAAGGAAACGGTTGTTCTCCAAAGAATGTAAGTAGATGTCAGCCTACAGGTAAGAGTAAAGTAGATTATTTGTATGCTGAAGATACCAAAGAACTGCCATCTGTTAGTATAAGAAATAGAGATATTAGTTTTAATGACCTAATTTTTTATAAGGCAGCTTTCTATGTTCTCATAGATAGTGAGGAAACTTAATCCTTTTGTAGCCTCCACTTTTGAAGAATCGGTTTATTTATGCGGTACACTTTTTGAATGCCAGTATTACTGTGAATTATTGAATGATTATGTCTAGAATCTATATCCTATCAATCTGCATTACTAAGTAAAAAGAAATTGAGATGGTTAAGTATACTTAACATCCTTCACATTTGCTCATGTGTCATTTGATACAATTTGTAGCACAGCAAATGAAATATCCATTGAATAATGTTTCACATTTTATGAAGTCATGTAAGATGTCAGTGAGTTAGTGAAAAACAACTATGCATCAACTACTTGAAATACTTGATTTTTAGTACAGTTCAATATATTTGTATTTTGGGAGGCTGCATTTGCTAATACTTCCATGACAGTTCTAAGTTGCAGTCTGCTTTTCAGCCCACTTTTTTAACAGTAAGCCTCTCCAAGCCTCTCATTGTAAAATATCATTTCTATGAAAAAATAGTGTTGTACTAAAGCTTATAATGTAAGTGGTATAATTTCCTGAACCATAAATTGGACTTTAGAACTTGTTGGCTAATTTATTCATTAAAGTGGCAGGGGCTTTTCTCAGAATGTTCCTCCTTCAACATGTTCTATTAAAATGATCTTTCAAATACTGATATTAAAGTTTCAGCATTGTTTTCCCTTACAAGTTTGAACTACACTTTCCCCAGTATATTTATTTAAAAATACCATTACAATTTGCTCGATTGGAGAATTTAAAAGAATGTAAATAATTATATAGACCGTAAGTCTTCCAAGCTGCTGCATTCAGTGCCCTCCTGCAAATGACTTTTGCTTTAATTCCAGTGAGATGTATGATGTATGGATTTGGAGATGATCAGAATCCTTACACAGAGTCTGTGGATATTCTTGAGGATCTAGTCATAGAATTCATCACAGAAATGGTAGGTTCTTATAATATGTTAGTACTTATTAGACATTTGATGCAATAGCTGCAATATTTAGGCTTTTGTTTCCTTGCAGTTCTGTTTTATGTAAACTGAGTTGAGACACATATAAAAGCTATTATGACCCAGTAAATTTCCAGTAACAATTTGTTTTAAATTTTTACCCCCTCCCCCTTTTATTACTTTATAAATAACTCAAAGCAAAAAACTCAAACTCCTATTTTTCCTATAATAGTCTTATGAGGTGGGTTGGGTTGAGACTGACTGGCTGAAAGTCTCCCAGCTGGATTTCATTTCTAAGGAAGAACTAGAACTCAGTATTCTGTTTTCTGGGCTAATACCTTAATCAGTGTACCAAACTCGTTCTCAGACTATTAATGAACCAAGTAGTGTGTAGTGATTAAAGTGTTGGACTAAAAGCAGAAATATCACGGTTTTAATCTCCCTTCAGCCACAAAGTCAGTAGATAATCAGTTTCCAGTTTCTTTTTCATAAGCCAAGTATGTTGTCTAAATACTGTGCGCAACTAGGTAAGCATTGTAGAATTTGTTAATTTGTTTTAATTGAAATGGATTTTCTTTTTGCATAATAGACCCACAAAGCAATGTCAATTGGACGACAAGGTCGAGTACAGGTTGAAGATATTGTCTTCTTGATTCGTAAAGACCCACGAAAATTTGCTCGTGTGAAGGACTTGTTAACAATGAATGAAGAATTAAAACGGGCTCGAAAAGCATTTGATGAAGCGAACTATGGCTCTTGAGGCCTTTTTTGAGCTCATCTCATTTTTTTGATTCACCCTTTCTATAAAAGGAAGCTCTGTGAAAAATAATTCAGAACACTGCTGCCCATTGAAAATTTAAATTGTGGACTGTTTTAAGATATTCTTTGTATTATGCTGCTTCTCTTTAAAATGCTAAAATATTCTTGGACATTATTCCCTATTATATCTTGAATTTTTTAGACTGCAACCATTTGAGTGTCATAATTCTAGGTTTATATTCTTATTTAACTCATTTTTTTCAAGTGTTACTAAACATTTCTAAGGGCCACATAGCTATTATCTTTTACCTCTGTCCTTCCTATCAAACTTAGATTTAAAAAATATGCTCATAAATCTCAATACTTCTAAATTGATCTTTTTCTCCATGCTTCATTTAGTGTTGTAAAACTAAAAGATAACCTCTTTCACAGCAGAGTACAAATATTAGCAAGCAGGAACACAGCTTATTTTGACTGAGGTAATCTGACAGGATTAAATGAAAAGGATTAAAATAAAACTATACATTTATGCATTATGTCAGTAATAGTTGCTGAGCCATCAAGGTTGAGTCCATGTGGATAGGAACTTAACATAAGAAAATGCAAGAAAATGGACTTTTGGTGAACACTTATGGCAGATTAAATCTCTCTAAAAGAGTGGAGATAGCATTGCAGCAACCATGGTGGCCAGACAGTAAATTCCAGCGCAGTCTTTCCATAAAAAGGAGAGATTGTGTGCACCCAGTTACATTCTGGACAGCTATTCCTTGTGAGTAAAATGCAGGAAATGAGATTTTTGTAATCAGCCTGTGAGTTGAGCAGCTGGAAGTTAGCTACGTCCACAGCTGTAATGCAGTTCATATGGACAAAAGATTTGCACAAGCCTAATTTCTTAAATGCTTTTGGATATAATTTATAGCTAAAGAGATTTTGTGAGTGATCGGATAAGAGAATTCCACTTGTTGCATGAACATTTTTCTGTATTAAAATGAAAAAAATCAAAGATTTAAAAACTTTTGGCAAAAACCTTAACAAAGAGTGGCTATAAGAGAGTTTAAAACAGATTAAAGGTTTTAAAGCTTTAAAAGATTTTTCAGTGAAAGTGCTTTTGAAAAAACTTGGAATTAAAATAGACAAATGAGCTGGACCTTTATGGGAATTATATATATATATTGCCACTAAAAAGTGCAGATTATTGGTGAATTTTATACAATGAAAAAATATGAGCCAGATGATGATGCTGACTTTAACTATGGGAGTGCCATCTAAGATTAAAGTATTAAGGGCATGGAAAGACAAAACAAGGGGGGGGGAGTGGACTTTTTACTCTTTTCCCTTGCAATTGAAAGACTTTCACTTTGGATTACAATATTACAACAGCAACCACTACAAAATCAGCAAAAGTAGCAGAGAGGAGTAGAGACTCACTAGAGCAATTTATAGAGAGGAATTATACCACATTTACTTCAGAAAATGTTTTGAAGAATTGAGCAGTAAATTAGCTGAACCATTTGATACTAAATTAATAAAATGTATTTGTGTTCTTTGTTATCAATTGAAGTTACATTCTGCATGTATGTAAGAAAATGAGATGGATATGAAAAAAGTTATTAACAAATTATAGATATTTATTCAATTTATAAGGCACTTCAATAGTCCAAGTAACTCTAGGCAAATAATAAAACAAACAAGACAGTAATAAACAGAAACCCTGTTTTACTGTACTATTAGAGAAGGAAGTACCAATAAATAAATCTTGGTATTGGAATGATAGTCTTGTACTATAAAAAATATAAACATATGCAGTTTAGTCTCACGGCTTTTAGTGGTGATTTTTCAGTTTCTTTTTTGTAAGTCTGAATCTTTCCTGTTGTAGCTTTGATAGGTTATAACTATTGGTTCAAAATTAATTTTGTAAATTTAAACTGCATAGAACAATTTTTTAAATATTCTGTGAATTTGTTCCTTATCAGTGGCTAGTCTTGTGCCGTTATAGAAAAGATAAACATGTCATACATAGTGCATGTTTTCCCCCTTCTTCAAGAAATAAGGTTTTTTTTCTTTCTGAGATAAAACATTACCTGGGACATCTCTAAGTTGCCCCATACTAGGACTGGCCATCAGAATACCAAATATAATTCACAGCCAGATTCTTATTGATATTTAAACATGGATAGTTCCTGCAACCATCTAATATTGTGAAGTGATCTTTTGGTTCCAGGTATTTGCTATAGCTCTGAAGGCACTCCACTTTATCTCTTTGGTGCTCTTTCCCTCCATTGTCCCCACCATTCACCCCAATGAATTATTTGAGGACACTGTTACTCAAGTACTCTTAGCAGCATTTGTTTGGCAGTGCTCCAACTTAAGTTTCAGATGATCTGTGACAACACTTCTACAGATATAAAACATTGCTGTAAAAATAAATAATTGAGGGATGATTCAAATCAGTCCACCAACAATTACAACTTGCTTTTCAACAACTTGGTCTGAATTGGGAGGAATGGACTTCAGCTCAATCCAGCCTGGTTATTGGGCTCTCCAGGTTGTGTATATTATCAATATTGATTTTGGATGTTACATAGTAACTTTGTTACTAGCCTATTAAAATGGACAATGGGAGACTTTCCTTTGGTTTACGTATTCCGGCTAGAGATGAAGGGAAACTTATTTGCATATCTAGAGTCTTTAAGGAAACCTGTTTGGAATAGAAAGAAAGCTAGAATAAGATATAAATATGGAATTTAAGATTAAAGTTATGGGTTGCAAAGGCTTCATAGAGATGCGGATTGATTTGGATTTTTAAGAGATGTTATTAGGATAAAATTTAGAATTTAGTATTGAAATATAGTAAGAATTCACTCTTTGGAATAATAGATCTTCCTTCTTTTCTCTTTCTTCCTCTTGGTCTGTTTCTGTCCTTTCTTACTATTTTTTCTATTTTCTTATGTTTTTATTATTAGGCATGATAATTAATTTGTGGAGGTATAATGAGAAAAAGATTGCAATGATGGAAGAGATGAAATTAACAAATGAAGAATTATTGAATAAGAAACAGAATATAGTTAAGAAATGTAAGAATGTAATGATGGAAATAATATGTTTAAATAAGAGTTAAGTTAGGGACATCCAAATGGTAAATAATATGTCTGTTTAAGGCTAAGTTGGATATGGTATCTGGAAATTAATAATAGCTGAAAACAGGATTTTGATTTACATAGGTAATGGGTTGCTGATAACTTTTATTGATTAATGGAATTTTTATTTAGGAATGTATTAACGAATGAATTTTATTTAGGAATGTATTAATTTGACTATATTATGTTAATTGATAGAGAGGGAAATTTTAAGAAGTATTATTTGAGCTGTATATTTATGATGTTATTGTATTCAACTGATTACCCTATCTCCACATTGGTTCTTAAGCTTCTTGGTGCAAAAATAAAAAAACCAATAAAATTGTTTGAAAAAAAAAAAAAAGGAGCCTGAGTGGATAGACCCTGCTGGTTTGGTCCCGAATGCCAGCGACTGAAAAAGAAATTGAAGGTAGCCATGAGGCTCGCCCAGAGAATCCTCCTGCTCATATACAAGCTAAGATGTTGCACACAAGGGAATATAAAAAAACTATAACATTAAAGAAAAAGTTTTACCATTTCAATCTAGTCAGAACTCGAGTTGGCTGCCAGAAGTCATAACTCAGTAATATCTTGGTACTCGGTAGCAGGTGTCCTGAAGGAATGGAGATTTGCATTTGACATATCAATCTCTGCTGAGGACTGGGAGAATTATTATCAGTGTTTGTTTGCTTCCACAGAACCGGTAGAGAAACTGTCTTTAAACAGTGATTTAGTAAACCCTAGAAACCCCCCCCCCCACCTCTTTGGCCACCAGTCTCAGAAAAGGAGATACAATCCATTATTAAAAGCTTAAAAGAGCAAGCCCCAGGTGAGGATTTTTTACCAGCTGAATTATTCAAGAAATTTCCCAGTTGGTGGGGTCCTATATTGGCAGGTCTTTTAACACACATAAATAACACCTGCCATATACCAGATGGGTGGAAGATAGCAATAGTTGTCCCCATATATAAAAAAGGGAATAAAAAGGACCCTAGTAATTATGGGCCCATTAGCCTGATTGATATTGCAGCAAAAATATATGCTAGGTATCTTTTGAACAGAATTGAAATCTGGGTAGAGGAAAACAATATCAGAAGAACAAGCAGGTTTTAGACAAAGCCGATCTACTATTGATAACTGCTTTGTCTTGAACCATCTAATTGTCAAATATGCCTATAAGAGGAGACCTGTTTGCTGCTTTCATAAACCTTACAGCAGCATTTGATAAGGTAAACTGAGGAGTACTATGGAGTAAAATCACATCTCTTAAAATAGAACCTAGACTCCTGGCTTTGATTAAAGCCCTTTACACAAGTACCTGTTTGAGGGTGCGGTATGGGGTTAATGGGGCTCTAACAGGATTCACACAAATAAAGGGATAAAGCAAGGGTGTATCCTGGCCCCATTGTTATTTAGTTTATATATCTATGACTTGCCAGGGTTAATGAAGGATCCCCTGCTACACATGCTGATGATCCTAAATACTTACTGTAACAGCTTGCTTTATGCTGATGATATGATTTTATTATATTCACAAGTAGGATTACGTAGGCTATTAAGAAGATTCAGCTCTTATTGTCAGGATAACTCCCTAATCATTAGTAAATCCAAATAAAAAATAACGGTGTTTGGAAGACATCATCAGAAACGTAAGTGGCAATTAGGAGGGGCAGCGCCAGCTGTCTAGAGGGAAGACTGTGCGGAACAGCTCTCCATCTATGAGAGTCGAATACATAGCCTTTTCCATCCGATTGGCGGATTCTTTGGAGTCCCAGATTCCTTGGAGGGGAATCGGAAAAAAGAGGCGCCCTGCAGCGCAGCTCACAGCAGCAGTTGAGAGTGCGGACAGCAGGAAAGCCTCGGAAAAGTCGAGCAGGGGAAGAAAGGCGGCCCATAATAGTGGCCGTGAAGAGAGAACAGGCAGCTGGACAACAGAGAGATGGACCTGGGCAAAATGATCCTGGCAACCCTCTGAATGACCCGGGGTGAAGATCTTCTCGGGGGATTGCAAAGAGGGAAGAGTCAGAAGGAGGCCTAAGGAAGGAGGAAATTTCCTCCATAGCAAAGTGGCAAATAGTAAGTGGGGGCAAAGAAGAGACCATTTCAGCGCGTTAAATTTTCACTGGCGGAGTGAGGGAAAAGAGGAAGAAGAAATCTACTATTATTGCTGATAATTTAATTCGGGAGTGAAAGTGCTGACTAATCGGAGAACGCAGACATGTTGAAGCAAGATTGACTGTTAACTAGGATAATACGGAGCAAGAGACACTTACTGGCCAAGGGAAAAACTGGTGACAATTTAAGTAAGAAGAGGAAATTTAAAGAGAAACAAGACCTATTTTGGATGGCCTGCTAATAACTGACTTATAAATCGAGGAAACTCAAGGAGTAATTTTGGATGCGGGAAATTTAATGGAATAGTTGTAATGGAACTTTTTTCAAAAGGAAATCATCTTTTTAATTATTACTGTTCTTGTTATGCAAGCCTTAGATTACTAGTTTATTAATTTCACCACCTACTGCACCAATTATTGATATCATTAAGGGATTTAATTATAGATTTGTTATTAAGTAATTGTTGACTAAAAGGAAGGTTTGCAACCTGTAGTTGGGGTAGGAAAGATTAAGAAAGGAAGGTAAAGAATATATAAGAGCTAGTTGAGAGAGTGATAGTTGAAGGGTGCTGGAGGATATTAAGAAAAATATAAGGAAGTAGAGGTCAATTTAAAGCAGTATTAAAAATGACAAGTATCCCAAACTTGACAAACATTGGTGCAGGAAAGAGGCAAGGAATCCAAACTACAACAATGGAACTAAGCCCAGCAGGGCAAAGATCTATGGAAGGATTTTTATAGAGAGATCAAACTCATTTAAGGATCAGATGTTACAAACAATGCAGGAGGTTATGTTAAAGAACCATGAGGATTTGAAACGAGAGATAGAAGGAACGAACGACACGGGAGAAATGAAAGAAAAGATGAGATCGATGGATGATAAATTTGAATGCCTCCAGCAACAAATTTTAAAAAGTGAACAAAAACTACAGAAGATGGAAGACAGAATGGGAAGGGAAGAAAGAAAAGTGGAGGAGATGGAAGAAAGACTAATTCAAGCTAATAGAGACCTCGAACAGACAATAATCCAATTGGAAATAGACAATACTACCCATTTTTTACGATTTCAGAATGTGTGGGAAGGAAAGAATGAGGATCTTCTGGAGATGATGGTGAAGCTAGTGGCAGGAGCTTTAGGAACTGAGAAGGAAGAAATGATTAAGGAAATGGATGAAATCTATAGAATCCACACGAATTATGCACGTAGCCATAATCTACCTAGAGAAGTGCATATTAGATTCATTAAAAAATCAACTCGTGATGAGATTTTCCATAGGACTAGAGAAGATCCACTAGAGATACGAGGAAGACAGCTTGTGGTGCTCAAACAAATCCCGAAAAGGGTAAGAGACCTAAGGCGACCCTACCAAATGTTTACAGCAAAACTAACAAGAAAAAACGTAAATTTTTGGTGGTTGACTCCGGAAGGGATTATCTTGGTATCTTGGGGAGAAAGGAGGTTGACATTGGACACGGTGGACAAAGTAGAAGAGTTTTACAGAAATTTTTTTGATAGTGAGGTTGAATCGGAAGAAAGAGAAAGAAGGGAAGAAGGAGAACTACGAGAACAGTCATCAAATAGAGGGGAATCCCAAATCAAGAAAAAAGAAAATGGGGAAAGAGAGAATGTGGACATTGGAAAAGACAATGATGGTAGACACAAGGATTACAAAGAAATTAGACAAACGAGGGCAACAAACCCTAAGTATAAGTAGAGGTTTTCAAGAAGCATTAGCAATTCTATCATTAAATGTTAATGGGTTAAATTCTCCAGGGAAAAAGAAAAAAAATTCCTTAGTAAATTGTATAAGACAAATGTGGATTGGGCTAATCAATAAAGACTTATGTAATAACAACTTTAAGGAAACCTCAAAACCTGAGAACAGCTGTCTGCATTTGCTATAATGAAATAGAAATAACAATTCAACTGAACATCACTTTTATTACTTAACAAAAAGTAGCGCTAGAGACCTAGAACTTTAAAAATATCATCAATGTCATATTTCTGATCAGTGGCTTCTTTCTGTATATGGGTAGGGCGATTTTCCAACACTGCAGGGACAGAAATGCCATCATGGATACTTTCCTCAAAAATCTTTGTACCACTGGAGTCCAAAGTCCGAAATAGAAAACACTGATTGAGGAAAGGAGATACAGTTCCCTTGAAGACAGGACCCCCTCTATGTATAGAAGTAGTCTGTGAAACACAGCTCTGCTTCCGTGAGAGTCTACTACTTCGTCGAGGACTTCCTCTAAGAAGTTGCATGGGTCTCTCTCTGCAACTTTGGAGTGTAAGATATTTACAGATAGTGGCTTTAACACATTTAAGTTTCCGCTGCAATCTGTAAAAGAGAAAAAAGATTAGCAATTAAAGCAGCAAAGAGCAAGGTCTGTAACAGTCTGTAAAACCAAGTGTCATTTATTTTTCTTATTCCAGTTTTTTCACATGACAAAATTCTAGTGAGCTTGGAAGAGTTTTACCCACTAATCAAAATCTGAAACAGATTACAGAAGCTTAATGCTATGAATGCAGATGCAGGTTCCCAACACTATTCATGCAGTTTAATTTTATTAATATGCACTGAAAAAGAAGTTTCATCATTTCTGTATTATAAAATTTAAATCAAATACTTTTAGATCCGTCTGGGGACTGGAGAATCTATAGTTCTCTAAACAGATTTTCAAACTTTCCATTTCTCTGAATTATGATATGGGAAGTCATGGATTCAAAAACACCTGGTGAAACATGTCTGAGACAAGCAGAGTGTTAGGTGAGAGCTATAGGCAGACGCTGCTGGTAGGCATCAGATTATGCCCAGGTGGATGGGGGCTATGGAGCATGGGAGGGCAGATGCTGCAGGCAGTATAGGAAGTATAGGCAAGTGGGTGATTAGGCAAGCACTGTATCAGTATGGATATAAGACCCCCATACTGCTGAGGGTCTCCCCTGAAGAAAGGGCAGCAGGAGCAAGTTGCAACCTCTGCCATATTTGACTTTGCTTGTAGGGGAGGTTGCAAATGTCAATACGTGACCCACAGTCTTGTAATTGAGAGCTAGTTGCCATATGCCTGAATCTTGATCATGTGACCATGGGGATGCTACGATAGCCACAACAGGACTGGTGCTAAGTCCCCCTCATTAGGTACCACTGTAACTTTGAACAATTGCTGAATGAGTGGTTGCTAAACAAGGACCACTTATATTTCAGGATTACACAGAGCCTATTTAGAAGGTATGGAAAGACTAGGACAAACAATCTGCACACCTGCAACCTTGGGCTTCCACATGCTGCAGCCTCTTGCTTTTTAAAAGCTTCATTCCTAAAAAGAAAGCCCCTGATCTAAATTTACTGTTTTTACACCAGATAATTGTTGCTTTCAGGGTTTGAGATAGTTCTTCAAAGGACTGCACTTCTTTAAACTTGGACACAAAAAAGTGAAGATGCTGAGATCTCAGGACTTTAGAAGAAATAGGTGCGATTTTCTTTGACACAGGAAGCATATTACTGAATTTAGAATTCTGAAATAAAGTAGTAAACAATTAACATTGTAAAACACTAATTAAAAAGCTAAGACTTAGAATAAACTTTAACATATAGCATCTTTGGCTAAAAAGTACATACAAATTGAAAAATTAAACAGATGATAGTTTTAACCACTTTAAACGGTTTAGAGTTTGCATGAAGACAAATGTTAACCATGAAGAAATGTCTCATTGGGGTCTTCAAAATTTGCTTTTTGAATGGCCTCCAAAATGCATATCAAAGTAATTTCCAGGATAACTGTGAAATGTTATTTCTTCTTCGTATTAAAAAAAAATCAGCGCTATTTCTCGTGACCAAGAAAATTCTACAGAACATCTGATTAACTTATGAAATTGTCTAGGACCAAATTAAACAATTGATTAGTGCTGCTTATTTTAATTAAGAGTAGATTCCTTCAAAGTTTTCACAAGTTCTAAAGACACCAAACAAGAATGAGACAGCAATTAAAATGAAACTTTCCAAATGAAAGTTCTTTTCTGACCATCAAGCTATCATCAACTATCCCAAAATATTCTTGAGATGCTATAAATCCACATTCAATGGAATAAATTTCCATTACACAAACCTAATTAAATCACTAAAATCTATTTACAAAGGAGATAAGATAGATGAATGTTTTTATTCACATACATAAGAAATTACAAAGCACAAATAGTAGTTATGACATTTAAAGAAAAACAATAGAGACTGTGCCAGGTTCATATGTTCATATTAGTAAAGTTGGAAGGGATCTTGGAGGTCATCTAGTCCAACCCCCTGCTCGGGCAGGAAACCCTACACCATTTCGGACAAGTGGCTGTCCAGTCTCTTCTTAAAAACTTCCAGTGTTGGAGCATTTACTGCTTCTGGAGGCAAGCTGTTCCACTGATTAATTGTTCTCACTGTCAGGAAGTTTCTCCTTAGTTCTAGGTTGCTTCTCTCCTTGATTAGTTTCCACCCATTGCTTCTTGTCCTGCCTTCAGGTGCTTTGGAAAATAGCTTAATTCCCTCTTCTTTATGGCAGCCCCTGAGATATTGGAATACTGCTATCATGTCCCCCCTTGTCCTTCTCTTCGTTAAACTAGACATACAGGTGGATGATTATGGGCCAGATATTTTTTCTATAGGGTTGTTATGGATAAAAAAGGAGACAGGCGCATTAATTACGTACATTGCCTTTAGCTGATCCAAAATAAATGTGGGGTAAAATTGTTTTTCCTTCCATTCAGTCATGTCTGATTCTTGGAGACAGTCTGGACAAGTCCCCAGTTTTCTTGTCAAGGTTTTCAGAAGTGGTTTGCCATTGCCTCCTTCCCTGTGCTGAGAGAAAGTGTTTGGCCCAAGGCCACCCAGCTGGCTTTTTGCCTAAGATAAGATTGAACTCATGACTTCCTAATTCTAGTCTGATGTTTTTACTATATCAAACTGGCTATCAAATATAAATAAAAATTACAAGCCTAGAGCATACAAGAACAGAATGGAACAAACCTCCTGTGACACAGGATTCGGATATTTGCATAATGTCTTCAGATCAAACTCCAACTTCTCTGCAAGATCTAAAAGAAAAGACACAGAGATAAAACTAAAAGCAGGTAAATAATCTTGAACAACAATAGGTTTAAATCAGGGAATCTGCTACAATATCAGCCAGGCCACTTTGATCTTTCAAGATGAGCGTGCTCCAGGTTCCTTTCCTTGCCAATATATAGTGAGATCCCCAAAACATGCCTTTTCTGTAGTAGCACCTTCCCTCTAGAATGAGGTTCCTCTGATGATTCGGATTTCCGCTAATGTGCTGTTTTTCACAAAAGCAAAACTGACTTTTCACCCAGGCCTTGGAGAGGGTCAATGAGAGCCCTCTCTTCATTCTATCTTATCCATCATGCATGCCATCTTTTAATACTTTTATTGCAATTTTTTAATTTTAGGCTGGGGCAGTTTGGGGAATGGCACAACATGCAAATTTAATAAATTATTTTGTACATTAGATAGTGTAATCTTCACTGAATTCCTGAATGGATATCCTGAATTCCCACCGGTAGATATTTAATAGTCCAGTTCCAAAGAAACATCTAAGCATCTGCAATTTTTATCCCTCCCCACCTTTCGTTCATCTTATTTTCAGGCATTCTCCACTATTAAGAGAAAAGATAATCAACACAGATCTTCCAATTCAATACAAGTTATAAAACCATAAAAATGTATATTATGCTATAATATAAGCATGAGTGTGACTGTTCCTAATATTCAAGTAAATTAAGCAGCCATTACCTTGATTAGGTCTGTTGATCAAAACTGGTTCTCCAATATCAGAAATATTTTTCTTTTTTTTCCTGACTGTTGCAGGAAGAGCTACATTCAGATTCTGAGACTGGGATATAGTCTTATGTTCCGAAAGCAATATTTTTATCCATCCAGTGCCAGTTTTCTTTTCTATAAATGTTTTAGGCATTTTCTTCTTAATCTCTAAATAACTGGTTTTCAGAAAAACGTTTATTTCAGAAGGAAAGACAAATCCTTTAATATATGGCCTTTGGTGCATTTTTGCTACTTCTTGAAGCAATTCAAAGAGATCCTTATATAACATACTAAGTTTTTTTAATATAGCTCTATAAAGAATCCTAGAATAAAGGAAAAACACAAAGAGATGTAACACTTGATATTGGCTAACATAATTCCATACTTGCTTCTCATTTTCACTAAGCTCTCCAATTCAGTATGAATTAACCAGTATTGACTCACAATGAACTTTGGCAATAAAATTAACAATAATCCTGAAGAAAAAGTCAAAGAGGTTTGTCACCTAGAAGGGGTGAGTAGCTTTTAAATATTAGAGCAGTATCCCAGGATTTTTGAAAGTGCTATTTACTAGTGTAAGGATCTGTAATGCTATGAGCCTTACTTAAAAAGACAAAACATATGCACACATGAAGCAGAATTCATGTTCACTAATCAAAAGCAAAGAAAGGTAGATGGATAGAAAAGTGAGTTATCTACTTTGGTCAGAATGTCTGGCTATTTTATTTATCTGAAACAAAGGAGATCCAGTTACCAGATAATGGAGCAATTCTAACACAGTGAGAAAGACTATTTTTAGAAAAAAATGAATTCCAGTGGTTGGGCAGTACATATGCCTCAAAGCCATCTCTATACCGCTAAAAGTTTATTGAAATTAAGGTATACCACCAGACATTGTTTTGCATAGAAGGAAGATCCCAAATTGGAGAAAAGGGATCTGGATCTGCATATAAAACCTGTTACACATAAACAGTGCCCACAACCATGTCTACACTAACTCCACCTGCCTTATTTAAGTGTCTTCCACTCAAAACCAACTAGGGAAAAATAAATAAATGTTTATAACAAAAAATATGTTCCTTTTTCCCATTCCAGCTGAAACAAAGTTTCAGAGTTTCTAAAGATACCATTTAATCTCCTTCACCCACCACTTTTCCTGGGTCCACCATAGCAATAAATGCAGTTAGAACTTTATAAATTGCAGTATGGTACAATACTCATTGGTATGCCCCCCCATCTAATTGGTAAGCAAAATCTTTGTTATAAACATGTAAATGAATAACTAGAAATGAAACAATAAAAATGTTTAAGAGATGTACATACCATAACCGACTCAGCAACCCCAGAATCAAAGTGTTGAACAATACATACTCTTCCAAACACAGATGTTTAACAATTAAACTGAGAAACAAGTTGGTTAAGGCTGGATAATATTTTCCCAAAAGTTAGAAATCCAAGATAAATGTCTATTTTACAGTTACTCAACTCAGTGAACTCAGTCCTAAGACAGTTAATAGTAAAACACGTTTACTTTTTTGTTATTTACATTTTTAATTCAATAAAAATCAAAGTCATTTATACTATATTACGATGCTAGAGAACTGCAAAAACCTAAGACCAGAAAAATTATGCACCACAGCCAGTAATGAACAGGATAATAACCACTATAAAAATATATTTTTGGAAGGATACCTAAATGTCGTACAAAAACATTCGAGTAAACGTAGTATAAGCTTGCAACTACCCAGTATCTTCACCAAAACAACTTCTATTACAGGCTGGCTGGGGACCAAGGACTCCGCAGAATTTTCAGATCTCTGTTTTCTATTTAAAATAAATAGAGAAAAAAATGTATATGCGCTTGAATGCTACTCTCTGCTGCTTTGTCACAAGCTGATATGGTAACTAATGTTAATGACACAGACTATGCAATACCACCTGTCTGCAACTCCTTAAATCAAATGAACTGTTTCTAGATCACATGGTAGCTGCAGATGGTAGCCACACTGTACAAGGAGTCTTCAACTTACAACCACAATTGAGCCCCTAATTTCTGTTGCTAAGTGAAACAGTTAAGTGAGTTTTGCCCCATTTTACAATCTTTCTTGCCACTGTTATTAAGTAAACTACAGTTAAGTTAGTAACATGGTTGTTGACTTTGCTTATCAGAAGACCGTAAAAGGTGATCACATGTTCCCAGGACATGGCAACCATCATAAATATGAAGCAGCTGCCAAGCGCCTGAATTTTGATCACATGGCCATGCGGATACTGCAATAATGTGTGAAAAATGGTCATCAGTCACTTTTTTCAGTGCTGTTGTAACTTCGGTCACTAAACAAAAGGTTGTAAGTTGAGAACTACCTGTGTCAGGAAGAGCTGTGACTGTTTCAAGGAATTCCAAATGGGTGTGATGTTTGTATTCTGTGAAGCTGCTGGCCTTCCCTTGCTTGCTAGAATTTGCAAACTCTGGATAGACTGACTTCCCCTTGCTTGCTGGAAGGAAAGGCAGTTGGAGGTTTGCAAAATCCTTACAGTTTGTTGTCTTTTGCTTTCTGGGTGGAAAGGAAGCTGAAGGACTTCAAGGACCCCAGAGAGAAGTGTAGCATGTGGTGCCTCAGGGGGTGGAAGTAGCCTTGGCTTAGGGCAGACAACTTGAAAAGGCCACCCAGCATCTCCCTCACCCAAGGCATCCTTTGCTCTATTTAACAATTCTCATTTTCATTTAATGGTTGCATCAGAAAGAGTATGGGGTAAGGTTAAGTGAGGTTGTTTTGCTTAACAACCATTGTGACACGTGCCCATTACAGTCATATTTCAAGGACAATCTGTATTAATAAAACTATAAAAACATGGACATGTTAACAAACTACTTACATGAGGTCCATCTGAGCAATTTTTTGAATCGACTTTTCCAGATTCATTAAATTTAAACGTTTCAAGCATTGTTCTACCTGAAATTATGAAGGTAAAAAATGTTGCTTACTGGCCTATATTAAAAAGCAAGCAAACTGCATTCTTATTTCCAATAAATATGCTTAGCTCTAGATATGTTTTTTCATAACTCGTATTAAGAACCAGATTCTTCACATGCACTATAATATCTCTAGCATATATACTTGCGAGCACTAACTTATTCAAAATTAAATTTCAGTATAGTATAAGTGAACAGAAACAATCTCTACATATCCCAAAATTAAGCAAACAAACTTTCTGCAGAACCAATGCATTCTATTCAGTTGAAATGATTTACAGATTCAAAATAAAATAAATATAGTAGATGCAAAATCCTTATAGTCAGTATTACATAATAACTCCCATGGCAAAAATATAAGCTTCTACGTGTTGGGCTATAGCTAGCTAGATCTTTTTTAGTCTTACTTTTGGCATTTATTTATTTATTGTTCCTCCTTAAAGAATTCCTCTACTAAAGATGATAATGGGCAAATTCAGCATTTTTTTTTATTATGGAAGGCCTTGAAGATTTAATCAAGATTTCCAAAAAGGTCACCAACCTGTTTAAGACTCCCATATGTCTTTTGATGAATCATCTGATAATGGTAATTATAAATGATTGAATGCAGAAGTCTCTGTTCTGCAACCAGCACTTTGCACTTTAACATGCTGTCAATAGATCCACACCTCTTCAGAACAGCCGAAAGGCATCTCACTAGAAAATATAAACATAGGCATCAATAGGAAGCTGCAAAAATTCACTCAATAAACCAGTAATAAAGGAAGTGGATCTCAAATTCCAGTATCAGTTAGTTCAGGGGTTCCTTAACTTTTTTGCCACACCTCTTTAGTATAAATGTAATGTACATCCCCTAAAAAAATCAATGAAGTACAAATAAACAATGAAATAAAATAAAACTTTGGGAAAAGCAGATTGATTGTAACATTGTACAACTAAAAAGTTCTTTCCATCTCCCCTGCATATTCTGTCTCTTCAAGAGAGCTACACTTGATAGTGTGGGAAACCCAGAGTTATTTGTCTGCAGCAGATTAGCAAAGAAGCTATAGTGTTATGAATCTACTTTCTGCACTAAGGAATTTTTTCCTTCCAGAAATTCATTTGAATTCTGTCCAGGATCTTGTATCATTCAGCTACTTTGCTTACTTCCTGGCATGAAATTCCAGATACTTGCTGTATATATAAGTGTTTTTTTGCATGGCACATTTATGCATGTTTAATTAAGCCATGATGGTTCATTCAATGAACCCAATTTTCTGGGTTTGCGTTACAATGAATGGTTTCACCAAAAGGTGACTTCATGCAGTACGAATAGGCTTAAGTGTTTTTGTTCTCAGTTGTGCATATTCACGAGTGTTTCGTTCCTCAAGTTAACTCCAGTTTAATCAATTAACCCCATATTAATCGACAGTTTGAAAAACCTAAGAGTATTAAATCATCAGTTAAACATAGATACGTCCACTAAAATCAGTTAGAAGTAAATTACAATCCTATATACGCAAAAAATGTAAATTTTTATTAGCGGAATGAGGCATTTTTTTACAATCACATTTATATTTTATGTTGGCTCAAGCTCAAATCTGCTAGATAATAATTTAGTCCCACCACCCAAAAGTCTGTTAATTAAACTACATTTTCAAAAAAAAAAAAAAAAAAAAGACAAGGCAGAAACTTCCGCAGCAAGCGTGCTTATCTAGCACTCAAATTTAACGCGAAATGCAAAGACATTCCGCTTTAGCTAGAGAGCCTCGTTCACGTTGAAAGCTCTCCGCTAACCTGAAGCATGTTCAGCCGGCACGACTTCGGCGGAATTGCAAGCAGGCCAAGGGACATCCCACCGGTTCCACACCATCTCGCCGCCTCCGGGCGCCGCCATCTTGGCTGACCGGAAATCCCGGATTTATCACCGGAAGGAGAACTACTGAAGACACTCCCCCAGCCCACCCCCAATAGGGCGAGAGAGAACAGAAGAGGGGATTCCTTTTAAATATTCGCCTTCTGATTCGCTATTCCGTCGGAGAGGCGGGATCTGGAAGCGCGTTTTAGTTTGTGACCTCCGACCTAGGGAACCTTCCCGTTACGATTTTCTCTTCGTTTCACGCTCTCCTTTTTCCCTCTGGTGAAGTATTTCTGATAGCTTTAAGATGTTTGGACTTCAATTCCCAAACTATCAAGAGTGAAAAATACTGCTCTATTGATGGTTGGTGTAGGAATTGTGACGACACCTAGATAGCATCAAACTAATGCTTTGCTGCCAGCTGAAATGTTATGCATTCAGACATTTGCAACCCATGTATAGCCATAGATTAGTATTGTACACTATTTCATTTGTCTAAAAAGGGCATCTTTCAGTTCCTTTAATCGGTGCATAGCAATTACTGCATAGTTTAATTTTAGTCTCCGCTCTCCCCTGCACACTTAAGGTTTAGCTGCAACAGTACAGCAATAAATGAACAATGATAAACAGAATGACTTTGAAAGAAGAAAAAATTAGAACCTTTATTAATATGTACAAGGAGGAATAAAAATATATCCACATACACATTTTATTGGAGAAAGACACTTATTTTTCCAAAGTGTAATGACTGCAATTCCCATTATCCTAGAGCTGATTGTGTATGATAATGATAAAATATGAGATCTCTGAAAAGTGCCAAATAGAAGCTGGCTCACACGGCAAACCGAGGAAGGACTGAAGACTGAAATTTGGCAACAATGTTTGGTGAATAACCCATACATTTCAGTATGTAATCTACAAAAAAAAAAAAAATGCTGTAAGACTGCTCTGTTTTGCTTTTTTTCTTTTAAACTTATTACACAGCAGACCATCACAATTCCTCTAAAAGCAACTACACTACAGAGATTGCAATCTGAAATTCCTTTTGAAATTACAAATCTTTTCTTTCCCACAGCTTCATAGCATGTTATTTACTTCAGACATGGATTCTGGACTTCTTTCCTTGGCTGTCCTGCTGAGTCTTTAAGAGCTTTATGGATTAAATTATAATAGAAACCACTGCGTTATAGCCTGTTCCATAACACTAATGGTTCAAAAACATGGAGGTGATGAGTATGAATGAAATCAAGGAAGCAAAGCAGTAATCAAGTTCCCACAGCTTCATAGAGAACTGAGCTAAGAATTACTGTACTTCCCCCACAATGCCAGCTCCCCAATTCTCTTGCCATTTCTCTGAATCCTAGCAGCCAAAAATTTGTTGCCAGGTCAGGGAAACAGATCTGCCTATAGAAGGCCAATAAAAACCAGGCAGAACTAATCCCCCGACTTCATCTTCTCCGGCACCATAACAAAAATGTTGCAAATTGTATGGCAAGGCATATTTAAACAGGGAAATCATACTTTAAACTGAGACATCTTAATTCAAATATAAGATCCCTTTATAGTGGGTTGAAGATCAGGTGTTCTATACCGTTATGAATTTTACCTGGTTTTCTACCTGCCTCCTGAAGAGGTATCAGATGGTCTTTGCTGAGTTGATTTTAAAGTTCTTTTCTCTCATTTTTTAAAAATTAAGTAATAATTATAGCTATGAATTTGATACTTTGACATTTTTGCTTCATCAAATGTTCACTTTTAAGTTCACTTAAAGTTCTTATTGTACTTCATGGAGCATAATAAAATCACTATTATGCATGTTGAACTACTGTTGGTTGAATAAATTGCAATTATCATAATCAGATAGGCTAATATATAAATAATAGTTTATTTATATATTTATTTAATATTATAAATTCCCATAACATTTTAAGCTACAAAGAAATATGTGATGTTTGAAATTAGATTACAAGTATGTATGCAAACTAATGTAAGAAATTTCAGGTATTGGAGGAAGGTGGAGTATCAAAAATAAATTATTTTAATAAATAAATATTTTTAAAGATCTATCCCAGCGATCTATCTATTCCTCTACAGGAATCTGTTGCAGAGATCTAAGGTATTATAAATAAATTGACCTTGATTTTTGATCTAGTGCAAAGTTAATACTGTATATGAGATCAAGCAGTTACTTCCCCTTTAAGATATACATCCACATCAAAGGATATAAATTAGACACAATGAAAGTACTTGTTCAGTTGTAAAGATTTCCCTTAGTACTATGAAACATGGAAGAAAGGACAAAGCCAGCAATTACAATGGTTAATACAAAGGATATCACTAAGGTGTCTTTAGCTCAGTTTCTAAGCTTTTACAAACAACCCATAAGTGAAGAACAAGCCTGGGCTATATGCTTTCATGGCTGTTGTAAAATGGATCAGATATTAGCTCAGGAACTAGGTTCTGTAGTTCAGATGAAGATTCTAGATATTGATGACCTCTATATTCATTCTGACGGAAGTATATCTTTCACTATCAAACATAACTATGGTAAGAAATTCCAATTAAAATGACTAAAGTTACTCTTTCCATTTATGTGTTTCTAAAATTTCTTATTTCCCTTGATATTTCAATGTATTATGCGTTACCTTAATTAAGATGTTAATTGTTAATGTATTTACCTGGAAACATAGTCCTACTCACTATATGTGATTTGTGAGTAAATAATGAGTAATTTTATTATCTTTTCCAAAAGGGAAATAGAATAAGTCACAAAATTTAAGATCATAGCAAATGCTTTTCTGTGATTACAGATTATGAAAATTTAATGTAGTATTACATCATCTAAATTGATTTATTTTTCTTTCTAAAACAAGAATTCCAAAACATAATTCCATAGAACAAAAAAATATATTTATAGTAGAGAAAGATACTTATTAAATGTGAGCAACTCCTGTTAATTCAGATTTGAATATTTGATTTTAATGTAATCAAGGCAGCAGTCTGTATAATAAGTAGTTCCACATTTCAGATTTGTTGATAATGACAAGCTGTTGTTTGAAAGACACAGCTGAGAAAGAGCAGGAAGAGTTAAAAGAATTTATTTTAAAAAAACCTTGATTTTCATTTCTTCTCTTAAAATGATAGGTATAAATTTTTCCTTTTGAAAAAGATCTCTAGAAGACTTGAAATTGTATATATCCTCTTAAATCATAGGAACAAATTATACCAGATACGTTATATAAAAACTTTAATAAAACACTGGAGTATGTACTATATATCGAAACATTTGAAGTCTATCATCACACTTAAAAGCTAGAAAAATTTGCATGTGTTAATTCATATTCTGATAATGTGTTTATGCTGATTTATAGAAATAATTATTATAGAAATAGAAATGTAGCACACCTTCCCATAATAACTAGGGAATATGTGCCTCTCCAGTCTGCTGGCGAAATAAATTCAACATCTCTGTTCTGAGGTCTATCTTTAAACCAGACTCTTTTAACAGAAGTCAGTCCTCTGTAAAATACATGACTACCTTCATCCAGTGATTTTTTAAAAATATTATAATCCTATATATTGGCCTACTTCAGTCTGAGTTTTCCAGATGTATTTGACTACTATCATGTACCAGCAGCATGGCTGTGCAAGGAGAAACCAGTAGGTTAAGAAAGGATGCTATATGTAGTCTAGAAGAAGTGATAAATGCTGTTATTGTAGTGTTTCCTCCCTCCCCTATATTCCATTTGATTAAAGAAATTTCCCACCTATATTTCCCTGGTATATTTTGATTAATAACTAGGGTTAATGAACCATAGAATGCTGTTCAGCTGTCCTTATTTGACAAGTTTTTTTTAAAATAAGTGTCAATCTGTTGTCAATATCTTCCAGGGTCACCCTGAACATGCAAATGAAATTTAAACTGAAATTGACTAAACATTTGTTTCAGATGGTCACATAAATCAACAGCCAAGGGAGATTTTAGAAGATAAGGTAAGATTAAGATGCTTGAAACAATTGATGACATATTCTTGACATTAGCAAAATAAACCTATACAGGCAGCTCTCGACTTACGACCACAATTGACCCCAAACTTTCTGTTGCTAAGTGAAACATTTGTTAAGTGAGTTTTGCCCCATTTTATGACTTTTCTTGCCACAGTTGTTAAGTGAATTGCTGCAGTTGTTAACTTAGTAACATGATTGTTAAGTGAATCTGGTTTCCCCATTGACTTTGCTTATCAGAAGGTTACAAAAGGTGATCACATGGCCCCAGGACACTGCAACCATCATAAATATGAGTCAGTTGCCAAGTATCTGAATTTTGATCACATGACCATAGGGATGTTGCAATGGTTTAATTGGGAAAAACTGTCATAGTCACTTTTTTCAGTGCCGTTGTAACTTTGAACAGTCACTAAATGAACTCTTGTAAGTTGAAGACTACCTGTAATGATTATGTAGTGATTGGTTTGGCTGTTAGATAATTCATTTCTCTTGGATGGGATTTCATTCTTCTTGTAACCATGAATAAAAATCTGGGATAGTCTTCATTAGTAGCCTTATGACAAAAATACCTAGTGGAATAGCTAAAGCTGAGGACATTTCCATATCCATAATATTTTCACTCTTCTATTTTTTAAAGTTGATGGCAATCCTTGTTAGGTTCATCAGCCTCAAATCTAAGAAATACCATCTGATCAGCATCCTATCCATACTTACTGACTACTGGTGAATAAAATGATTTCCCCTTCATCCTATGCATCCTTTTGCTCTTATTCTCCCATCATTTTGACCATAAAACATTTTTCAGGAGCTGTGGTAGTACAGTGGTTAGAATGCAATATTGCAGACTAACTCTGCTGAATGCCAGGAGTTCGATCCTGACCAGCTCAAGGTTGACTCAGCCATCCATCCTTCTGAGGTTGGTAAAATGAGGACCCAGATTATTGGGGGCAATATGTTGATTTTGTAAACCACTTATAGAATGCTGTAAAGCACTATGAAGTGGTATATGTCTAAGTGCTATTGCTGTTTCACGCAGCATAGAACCATATTAGTCGGTAAAAGTAAAACTGTCAAGCCATCATGTCATTATTCTTCTGTCGCACTTTTAAAAAAATAACAGCAATAGAAACTTTATTAGAAGAAGTGGGAAAGATGCTAACTTGAACCCAGGAGTTGGGAAGTGGAATCAATCAAGAGCTTTTGCCAACAGAAAAACTGACTGGCCACAGAGCTACAGTGGAGCAAAAAAGTATTTAGTCAGCCACCAATTGTGCAAGTTCTCCCACTTAAAAAGATGAGAGAGGCCTGTAATTGTCATCATAGGTAGACCTCAACTATGAGAGAAAAAATGAGAAAACAAATCCAGACAATCACATTGTCTGATTTGGAAAGAATTTATTTGCAAATTATGATGGAAAATAAGTATGTGGTCAATATCAAAAGTTCATCTCAATACTTTGTTATATATCCTTTGTTGGCAATGACAGAGATCAAACGTTTTCTGTAAGTCTTCACAAGGTTGACACACACTGTTGCTGGTATGTTGGCTCATTCCTCCATGCAGATCTCCTCTAGAGCAGTGATGTTTTAGGGCTGTCGCTGGGCAACACGGACTTTCAACTCCCTCCAAAGGTTTTCTATGGGGTTGAGATCTGGAGAATGGCTAGGCCACTCCAGGATCTTGAAATGCTTCTTACGAAGCCACTCCTTTGTTGCCCAGGCGGTGTGTTTGGGATCATTATCATGCTGAAAGACCCAGCCACGTTTCATCTTCAATGCCCTTGCTGATGGAAGGAGGTTTGCACTCAAAATCTCACGATCCATGGTCCCATTCATTTTTTCCTGTACATGGATCAGGCATCCTGGTCCCTTTGCAGAGAAACAGCCCCAAAGCATGATGTTGCCACCCCCATGCTTCACGGTAGGTATGGTGTTCTTTGGATGCAACTCAGCATTCTCTCTCCTCCAAACACAACAAGTTGTGTTTCTACCAAACAGTTCTACTTTGGTTTCATCTGACCATAGGACATTTTCCCAATCCTCTTCTGGATCATCCAAATGCCCTCTAGCAAACTTCAGACAGGCCCGGACATGTACTGGCTTAAGCAGGGGGACACGTCTGGCACTGCAGGATCTGAGTCCCTGGTGGCATAGTGTGTTACTGATGGTTGCCTTTGTTATGTTGGTCCCAGCTCTCTGCAGGTCATTCACTAGGTCCCCCAGTGTGGTTCTGGGATTTTTGCTCACCGTTCTTGTGATCATGTTGACCCCACGAGATCTTGCGTGGAGCCCCAGATTGAGGGAGATTATCAGTGGTCTTGTATGTCTTCCATTTTCTAATTATTGCTCCCACAGTTGATTTCTTCACACCAAGCTGCTTGCCTATTGCAGATTAAGTCTTCCCAGCCTGGTGCAGGTCTACAATTTTGTTTCTGGTGTCCTTCGACAGCTCTTTGGTCTTCACCATAGTGGAGTTTGGAGTGTGACTGTTTGAGGTTGTGGACAGGTGTCATTTATACTGATAACAAGTTCAAACAGGTGCCATTAATACAGGTAATGAGTGAAGGAGCCTCTTAAAGAAGAAGTTTCAGGTCTGTGAGAGCCAGAAATCTTGCTTGTTTGTAGGTGACCAAATACTTATTTTCCACCATAATTTGCAAATAAATTCTTTCCAAATCAGACAATGTGATTGTCTGGATTTGTTTTCTCAGTTTGTCTCTCATAGTTGAGGTCTACCTATGATGAAAATTACAGGCCTCTCTCATCTTTTTAAGTGGGAGAACTTGCACAATTGGTGGCTGACTAAATACTTTTTTGCCCCACTATACATCCTTGAAAAGATCAACCAAAACAAGCACTATTTTTGCTTTGATTTCAGACACATCACAGCAGATTCAGGAAAAAAACCCCTCTTCATTCTCAAGTCTAGCTGATATTTTATAATAGCACAGATCTAGAACTAATTCTGAATTGTAATAAAGTTCTCACGAAGAGGTGAATAAGGGTTCAGTCAGTGATTTCATATATAGGTTATCTCAAGAGTGGATTATTGTAACATGCTATATGAGGGTCTGCTCTTGAAATGATTTCATAAGAGGCCGATTATTCAAGGCAACTCCATACTGTATATTGAACACTTGGGCTAGTGGCACTTTACCTGTAGCTTAATCATTTTTTAATATCTTCAAGACGTTAAGATAGCTTGGAAGTATGGATACAAAAATATCTGCCTTCTAGTTTAACCTTAATGTGTGGAGGATGATACTCTTTGGCAGTGGACTGTTTCTCAGTGAAACAGTTTTCTCCCCCAGTTGATATGAGGACATCCCCGGGCTCTAACCTTTTTCTAGTTTTAATATTGCTAGCTGCCTCAAGTTACTATATTAAATATGTTTTATTATTTTAGTTTTGTATTTGTTTTTATTTATAATTTTATTTTAAAACTGCTTTCGGAGTCCTAGTGGACAATCACTTAAATATAGCCAGCAGTGTGCTGCAGCTGCCAAAAAAGCCAACAGTGCTGGGCTGCATTAACAGAGGGATAGAATCAAGATCACGTGAAGTATTAATACCACTTTACAATGCCTTGGTAAGGCCACACTTGGAATACTGCATCCAGTTTTGGTCACCACGATGTAAATAAGATGCTGAGACTCTAGAAAGAGTACAGAGAAGAGCAACAAAGATGATTAGGGGACTGGAGGCTAAAACATATAAGGAACAGTTGCTGGAATTGGGTATGTCTAGTTTAACGAAGAGAAGGACGAGGGGGGACATGATAGCAGTGTTCCAATATCTCAGGGGCTGCCACAAAGAAGAGGGAGTCAAGCTATTCTCCAAAGCGCCTGAAGGCAGGACAAGAAACAACGGATGGAAACTAATCAAGGAGAGAAGCAACCTAGAACTAAGGAGAAACTTCCTGACAGAATAATTAACCAATGGAACAGCCTGCCTTCAGAAGCGGTGAATGCTCCAACATGGAAGTTTTTAAGAAGAGACTGGACAGCCATTTGTCTGAAATGGTATAGGGTTTCCAGCCTGAGCAGGGGGTTGGACTCGATGACCTCCAAGGTCCCTTCCAACTTTATTATCGATCATCGCACAGTCAGCCAGATGTTCAGACTGGATTTGGCATTTTGTCTACCTATCGAGTCCTTACCCAGGACCTGGGATAGGCAGATGTGGATGTTTGATGGTATTACAGATATCGTCGCAGGATGGAAGCAGTTCCTAGTAAGGCCGCCTTTTGCAATTGACTAATAGCGAATTTGTCAATGCCAATGGTGTTCAAGTGGTGCTCCAGTTGTTTTGGGATTGCACCCAAGGAGCCTATTACTATTGGTACTACCCTTGCTTGCTTTTGCCACAGTCTTTCTATTTCTATTTGTAGGTCTTTGTATTTTGTTATCTTCTCCAGTTCTTTCTCGTCTATTCTGCTGTCTCCAGGCACTGCCACGTCCACTATCCAGACTTTTTTGTCTTTCTTATCGACAATTGTTAAGTGTGGGGTGTTATGTTGCAGGTGCTTGTCTGTTTGAATTCTGAAGTCCCAGAGCAGTTTAATTTTATCATTTTCTATGACTTTCTCTATTTTATGATCCCACCAGTTTTTGCTTACAGGCAAATGATATTTTTTGCAGATCTTCCAATGCATCATTGTCACTACTTTGTCATGCCACTGCTTGTAGTCAGTCTGTGCAATCTTCTTGCAACAGCTTACCAGGTGGTCCACTGTTTCTTCAGCTTCTTTGCATAGGTGGCACTTACTGTCTGTTGCTGTCTTCTCAATTTTGACTTTATATGCAATTTGTCCTTAAGGCTTGGTCTTGTGCAGCCAGAATTAGTCCCTCGGTCTCTTTCTTCAATTTTCCTGCTCTTAGCCATTGCCAGGTTTTATTATTATCTGCTTTCCCAGCTATTTTTTTCATGTATTGGCCATGTAGTGCTTTGTCTTCCCATGCCTCTATTCTGTTCTTCATTTGGTCTTTCTTGTAGGCCAGTTTGGTCTCTCCAGTAGTTAGTAAGCCTTCCTGATATACTAATTTCAGTGCATCTTCATCATTGTTCTTCAGATATTCTTCCAAAGCCATTTTTTCTTCTTCAACCATCTGATGTACTTGTAGCATTCCACGCCCACCTATTTGCCTTGGTAGATAAAGTCTATCAATGTCACTGCGTGGATGAAGGGCATGATTCATTGTCATTATTTTTCTGGTCTGCCTATCCATTGCTTTTAGTTCTGCTTGAGTCCAGTCCACTATTCCAGCTGTGTACTTAATGACTGGGATTGCCCAGGTGTTGATTGCCTTTATGTATTTCCTCCATTGAGTTTGGACTTTAAGATCTTCTTCACTCTCTTGATGTATTCACCTCTAATCTTTTTCTTGACTTCAGTGTGCTTGATGTTGTCAGCTTGAAGGATACCCAAGTATTTGTAGTACTCTTCCTCATCCAGACTCTTAATGTTATTTTCGTGGGGCATCTTGATTCCTTCAGTTTTCACTATTTTTCCTTGTTTGATAGTAAGTGTGGCACATTTGTCCAAGCCAAACTCCATTACAATATCTTGACTATATATACGGACAGTGTTGAGCAGCGATTCTATTTCAGATGATGTTTTCCCATACAGCTTCAGATCATCCATGTAAAGGAGGTGGGATAGTCTGGCAGATGTTTTTGATGTTTGATAGCCATGTCCTGAGTTATTCAGTATTGTTGACAGAGGAAACAGTGCAATAACAAATAGTAATGGTGATAATGAATCTCCTTGAAATATTCCTCTCTTGATATTCACCTCTCCCAGCTCTCACCATTGATCTGCAACTGTGTCTTCCATTGTGCCATCGATCTTTGCACAAATTTTCTGATGTTTCTACTGACTCCTGTTATTTCTAGGCACTTTATTATCCAATCATGTGGCAGAGAGTCAAATGCCTTTTTGTAGTCAATCCATGCCACATTCAGGTTGGTCTTCCTTTTCTTGCAGTTTTCCAAGATCATTTTGTCTATTAGGAGTTGATCTTTTGTTCCTCTGCTATTGGGGCGGTTTCCTTTCTGCTCATGTGGAAAGAGATTGTTTTCAACTAGATGCTGTTGTACTGCATCAGCTACCACACCAGTTAGTAATTTGAAAGTTGTTGGTAAGCAGGTAATTGGCCTGTAGTTACCTGGTGTTGCCCCTTTTGCTGGATTTTTCATTATTAGGTAGGTTTTCCCAGTTGTTAGCCACTTTTCAATTTCTCCTCCTTGTAGTATATTGTTGAACTGCTTGGCAATGAGTGGGTGTATAACAGTTAGATGTTTCAACCAAAACCCATGCAGTTCATCTTCACCTGGTGCTGACCAATTTTTGATTTTCTTTGCTCTTTTTTCTACCATTTTTGTTGTTATTACTAGTTCTTTCATTTCAACTTCTGTTTTATTTGCATCCACCTCTTTTAACCAAGCCGCATCCTTGTTGTATTTCTTTGGGTTATCCCATATCTGCTTCCAGAACTGCACTGTTTCTTCCTTGTCGGGTACTGACTGATTCCTTGCAGTTTCTCCATTGATGGATTGGTAGAAATGTTTCTGATTGGATTGAAATTGGAGGTTCTGCCTATAGTTTGCAATTCGAGCTTCATATCTACTGATTTTCCTGGCTATAGCTGTTATTTGTTGCTTTATTATTTCCAGTGCTTCCTTGATCTTCCTTGTTTCTAAGTGGTATTTCTTGATTAGGTATTCTTTGGTCTTCTTGTTCTTCAGCTTCTTTTCTTTCATCTGTTCTAGCTTGCTTGCATGTGATCTTAACTTGCTGATCTTATTTTCTAGTCTAACCTTCCATTTTTGTGGTGCACTGTTTGTTTGTTTTTCTTTTTTGTTGATTTTACATCCCAGGTATTCTGTTATAACTGCAGCTGTGCTGTACATTAGTTGGTTTGTTTCTTGCAGTGAATTGGTGCTTATACTTGCTATTGCAGTATTTGCATCTTTTAATGCTTGTGCTAGCTGTTTCTTTGGAACAAGCTTCAATGCAGGCAGCCTTATTCTGTTGTTTTTGTGCTGTTCTAGATGCTCAGTTATTCTTTGTTTCAATTCTTTTATTTCTTTAGTTAGAGGGTTTTGTTCTTCCTGAGGTAGAGGTGCCTGGTTTCCAAATGAGAACAGTTGTATATCTCTGCTAGGATTCCTTCACTGCCAACTCCCCCTGGTTTGCCTCTACATTCTGAATTACTTCTGGTAAGGCTTTGATTTCTTTGCCCTGGGTAAACCTTTGCAGTTCGTCCAATTCTGTTTCTGTGAATACTTTATTTCGTGTTATAAATCGGCGTTGATCTGCTAGTCTCTGTTCTGTTATTTCTGATTCTGGATGTTGTTCTTTCCAGAACTGGTGCATTCGTTTTAGATATGCTCTTCTTGTTGGACTTGATCTGTAGTAACAGATCATTATTTCTTTGTTTTCCATCATTGTGTATCTGCGACAGGTAAACACCTTTTCTTCTAGTAGTTCTGCAGCTGCTGGCCCTGGTTGCTCAGCCAACAGTCCTGTAACCCATTTTTCACCAGATATCCAGGAACTCCAATATCTAGCGCGGACCTTGTTAACCCGGGCGACGTCCGAGCCAATATGGCATTCTGCAATTTACATCTCACCATATTTTTTATGGGAGAGACACTCTTTGTCCAACTCCTCTGATGAGACCTGTCCAGTATGGTTGAACCTCTGGCATAGCTCTCATCTTCCTCAGAGTACACAAGCCCCACAACCACGTCAAGGTAGTGTCTCACTGGGGGTCAAGGTAGTGTCTCACTGGGGGTTGTTGTTGTTGTTGTTATTATTAGTATTATTATTATTATTATACTTAGACAATTGAGAAACAGTAGCTAAATTCTTCTAATACTAGCCATTTGTGTACTGATTTTGACAAAATTGTCCTAGATTTTCAGAATTGACAGATCGCTCAATATTTCCTTTCTAGTTGGCAGAATCATTAGGAAAGTTGATCTACAAAGCTCTGGACTGGGGAATCGAGAGCCATATGGAGAGAGAGCTGAGTGAGTCACTGGCAAAGCTAATAACGGTTATGCTCAAACTGAATGCAGAGACCTCAAACACCACAGTTGCTTTCCAGGATGTAATCAAGGTCTTGTATGTTTCACATAATTTATATATTTAGCCATTTGTTCTAAATATCCTTTGGACAAGTAGAAAAAAAATCTTACACATTCAGTATAAAGTTTGTTTAAGGAAGAACAGAGAAGGAATGACTCTGTCTGTACAGGAAAAATTCCTTCCTTTCTTTTTTCTTCCTTAAATATGCTAATCTCCTTTGAATGCATTCAGTTTAAGGTGCAGCTTGGTCACTTAAATTAATTGTTCATTTAACTTTAGCAATTAGTTTAAATAAATTAATTAATGGAAAACATTGATGTAATCCTTTTAAATGCAGTTATTATAGAAGTTCATATTGAAGTATGTACATTTATAATGTAATTAAATACTTATAAAGCCAATTAGTTTTATAAGTCCATTTCAATCCACAATGGTTGGGAAAGTAAAAATAATCAAAACACAAAACTGTGCCAATGCTAAATCTCATAGAAAAGTGGTTCTCAACCTGTGGGTCGCAACCCCTTTGGGGGTCGAACGACCCTTTCATAGGGGTCGCCTACGATCATCGGAAAACACATATTTCCAATGGTCTTAGGAACCGAGACACCGCTCCTCTTTCTGTCTCCGCACGGCTTCGAGCTGGGGGCCGTTGCAGTGCCGGATTCGTTTCTCGAGCATCTTCTAAGGGAGGCTGTGCTGCTTTGCGGTCCTTTCCATGGAAGAGGCTGAACTAAGCTCTGCCGGTGCTGTCGCCCTCTTGGCTCTCTCTCTCTCTCTCTCTCGCTCTCTCGCTCTTTCTCTCTCTCCCTCTCCCTGCCTGGGCACTTCTCCAACCAGGCTGTGTGGAGCAGCCTTCCTGCCCCCCCTGCCCGGCCAGCTGGAGCCGGGCAGGCCAGCGACCTTCAGAAGTGAGGCGAGGACAGGCGAGGCGCGCTGAGCTCTGGGCACGGCGGGTGAGTGGGCAGCGTCGGTGCGCGCTTGGAGAGCCCTTAGGGTTGTACCTTAGGGTACATGAGGAACTGTATTAAAGGGTCGTGGCATTAGGAAGGTTGAGAACCACTGTCATAGAATATTGATTATTTAGATTGGTTTCACTTGTTTTGTTCACACCTGTCTTCAGTGTAGATCTGCAAATCTGGAGTTTTGTTATTTTTAGTATAGTATAGTGTTTGGCCCAGAATTCCTACTGATTTGATAGTCTACTACATCTGCAGAGCAGCATGTTGGAAATATAGAGAGTCCTTGGTGCTCTCTGAGCTTGGTTGTTTGCTTTCATGTTTTATTACCTGATTAGGTAACATCCTTAATGATAATGAGCATTTAATTTGTTTTTGGTTTATAAATAGCTTACCATGATCAATAGATATACAGTGATGAAGCACATTTATACACCATTCAAAAAAGACAACAAAAAAAACTAGGAAGGAAACAAAAAGACCACAATACATCCTCTCCAGCAAACAGTATCCAGATAATAATAGAGTAAAAACAGAAAAATAATCAAGCAGAACAAAAAAATACACTAATCTAGGAATTAGCAAGGAGAAAGCTGTCCCCCAATAACACTGACAGGGCAAGCTACCATATATAAACAGGGAGCAAACCCCACACTCCTTAGCACTGATGAAATAACCTAGTTGGGTAGTGAAAGGACCACATTTCTACCCGAGCTACATATATTCTCTTCAGTTGGAAGCTGGTTCCTTTTAAAATATCTTCCTATGTCATGCAAACTATGGCTTATATGCTAAATCAATATAAAATGTACCTGTGGTCCAAGTTTATGTTTTCCCTTGAAACTGTAATTATTATACTACAAGTATTTAGTGATTTCTCCTTCTGTTTATTAAATACCTAAGATAAAGCATAAAATGTGCATTTATTAAAATTTAAATTTATGTAAAATCAAGTTTATCCCTTGATTTGACCCTTTATTTATTTGATTTGGCTCTGCCTATGTTTTAGAAGACTTTCCGAGTGCATCGCCCAAGGCAAGAGTAGCTCTTGATATGAATTCAGTTTCTTTATTTGCTCTTTTTGTATTAGTTTCAAAAGGCAACAGACAAGATATTTTCTTCTAGAATATATTGGCTATGTTCATTTTTCTTTTTACCGTGTCTCTTATAGCATTTTATTAAATCATGTTGTATTATACATAGGTCTCAAATAAACAGGTTTATATGTTGAGTAACATTCAAAAGCTGCTCTACTCCATACTTGCCTTTCTAATTTCTGATGCTTTCTAATCTATTACAGTATTATAATAGAGAGGTTCAGGATTTGCATCTTCAGTCTATAAATTCAGTAGTTAATTTAATACATTAATTGAATATGTGTCCAGAACTGATTACTGTCTGTCCATTTTAGATCTGTGAGGATCACTTCCACAGACCATCCAAAGCTGCCAGTCATTATACAACCATCTGCCAAATGCTGTTCTCTGAGTACATTGAGCTTCAGAAACTTATGTTAACCATACAGAATTGCAAAGAGGTATTTGGGGGATGTGAGAACACAGTAGCTAAATCTTTCTTTATCACTACTTCAGTATCTTCATCCCATCATAATTTTTCTTTTGAAATTGGAGTAAAAATGTACATAAGGTTGGAAAAGCAATCGAAGGATTTACACTGAACAAGCTAAGGCATTCTTTTTACTGTATTTTAGGATTTGGGAAGAATGAATGAAGAAGACTGTTCTGTCAGGCAGAAGACAAACAATTGGGTAGGGAGAGTCTACTTTGTTATTTTCAATATCAGTTTTCTTTTTTAAAAAATAGTAATTTTATTAAAAGTTATAGTTCAAAAAATAAAAATTAATACAAACTAAAAAATAAAAGAATAAAAAAGAATAGGAAGAAATGAAAAAGCATATAGTAAAGAAAAAGAAATATAAAAAGCATTGACCACCTTTATCACAAGTATAAACAATTTTAGTAATTTATCGCTTTCATAAAATACAACAAATGATCTCTTTTTCCCATATCCCATCTCATATCTGCAAACAAATCCTTAAAACCTTATCATTTATCTCTGATCAGCAAAAGTCCATTAAAAGATAACACATATTTTAACCTTGATCAAATAAATCAACTTTTTTTCTTTACTTTTACTTTTAACAATCTTGATCTTTAATGCCTTCGAATAATCTCCTAAAACTTGATTTCTTTTCATTTTTCCTTTGTTTCTTCTCATAAAATTCTTCAAAGCTTTAATAAGTCTCTTTTGTAAATCCAATATAGAAAAATCCAGACTCTCTCTTGGTTTGTTATTTCTATATCCCATTTAACTGTTAAGACAAGAATTTCCTTGTCTCCCAGAGCTCTAACCCAGTGGAAACTAGTGTCTTGCAGTTTCTTCTTAAGGCGCAAGTGTATGGAGTACTTGTGGATGCTCTCATGTCCTCTCCTTGTTCAGAGAGGGAATTATGAAGAGCCTATGTACTCACCAGCTCTTCATTCCAAGCCTTGGTGAACACTTGAATGGATCCAGGAGAAAAAAAACCCTCAGCCCTGCACTTTCAGGAAAATTCTAAGAAGGAAAAAAAAGATTGCATTATGAAATAAGGCCAGTTTTTTGTCTTGTTTCAGATTATGAATCCCTCCCATCTATTAGCATTTTAGCATATTATATCAGTGGAAATCCTGAATATTATAAAACAATCTGTAAAATAACAACATTTTTTTTAATATGCATAACTTGTATTTTAGCAATCATATAATATGATGCACCTGCAGGCTAATATGTAGCCTTCAGGATGGGCTTACCCATTTCAGGATGATTTGTGATAAGATATATTTGGTTCCTTATAGAAAAGAGCGAAGCTGCAGAAGGTTGAGCAAACTCTGCACAGCATTCCTCCAGGAGAAGGCATCCTTTCATCCTACAGTATGGTGGTGGATGATATTAAAAACAGACGCTACAGCCTCCATTCAGTAAGTAATGGGTTGTATCAGATTTAGCTTTTATTGTGTGTATTTCTGAGACACCTTCTCTCAATGGGATGAGGATTGTAGAGGCCCCAGGCATGTTGATCCCTGGGACCACCACCCCATGTGCAAGTCTTTCTATCTTCAATTTTACTAGCTTCTTTGGCTGTCTGTGTTCTTTTGTCTCTATCTATACTTTCCTGTCTTGCCAGAGTGGATCACACTTTTTCTTTCCTTTTTTTAAAAATTAAATCAGCATGGTGCTAGATTTAGCAGTCTTTTGGGCCATAAAGACCCTGGTCCAGTCTTTGATTTCCACCATTTTTCATTTATAACTCACTGTATTTGTTAGGTATCAGTATGGAAATTGAAGGAGAAGACCTTCCGAGAACTCAGCCTGCATGAGCAGCTCATGATTGAAGTGAAAAATCCACCCAAACTTCGACCCATCTTTGTACAGAAAAGTGGCAACAATTATAAAGGTATGTTCCAATTGTTAACCAGGAAGACATTCTTGATACTGCAGATGTCTTGGGATGTTTTACTATGTACTTTATGAATTTGAAAGAATAAAAAAGCAGTTTTCCTTAAAGGTAGATTTGGCTGTAATGGCATGCCTTTTCTGTAATTTATTATGGGTTACTAGGTTAGAGCTTCCAGGGACTTTCGGCAGCCTGAAGCTATTGGACTCCATATTTTTCAGCATATACCTGAAAAAAAAAATCATACCCATTTGATAGAATTAAACTCTAAAATACAAATAATAGTTTACATTTGTACAATTCTCCCAAATGAATTGTGTGCCCTTATTAGAGCAAAATAAAATAACACCATCTTGACAAAGGAAATTTTAAAAAATACCTAATTCATATGGAATCCTGGAAGAAGCATAAGAGATTCTTAAATAACAGAAATGAAAGAGCATATTTGAACCAGACATACTGTATGTCATTAAATAATATATTCTCTGCTATATGTAGTGAGAACTAATATTTGTAAGTATTTTATTATCTCTGAAGAAGATCAGAATAGATTAACATATCTACGTACATTTTTGACTGTGTTTTTTTTTTCTACAGGAGATACTCAGAAGTTCATCCTGAATTCTCCACATAATAGTATCTTCCCTGAACAGAATATCAGCACTGACTTCTCAAAAGCTAAAAAACCACGACTGAGCTACATTCAGTCAGATTTGGAACCAAAAATAAAACTAGGAGAGCTATGTAAGGAGGGTAGAGGATCAGAAACCAAGGCAAGAACAAACAAATGATGCATATCTATTGTCCTTTTTCAATACCCATTCATTTATCTATATCTATATTGAAATGTTAGAGAAATGTCTAGTGGTTTGGAGAATTTATTGCTGCTGCTGCTCCTCCTTTTTGGATTTGGCTCTGAAGCTACACAGAACCCTACAAAGCACCGTGTCTTTCCTATGTGCTCATAATTAAAGATGTGCAATCTTTGGAATTTATATCTAAATTGAGTGTATTAACATACGGTTACCTTAATAGTTATTTATTTATTTATTTAGTATATTATTAAATAGAGGTCCAGTTTGGCCTAGAGCAGGGGTAGGCAACCTCAGCTCTTTTATGACTCATGGACTTCAACTCCCAGAATTCCTGAGTCAGCATAGCTGAGTCAGGAATTCTGGGAGTTGAAGTCCATGAGTCATAAAAGAGCCGAGGTTGCCTACCCCTGGCCTAGAGATTATGGCCAGAAACCAAAAAGACTGTGAGCCTTAAGCATGAAAGCCAGCTGAGTGACTTTGGTCATTCTCTCTCAGCTCAATCTATCACACAAGGTTGTTTTGGGAAAAATAGGAGGAGGAAGGAGTTTTACGTATATTCACTGCCTTGATTTATAAAAAATAATAAAGGCAACATATAAATAAATAAATAAATCCTCTATTTTGAAGGAAATATAAAAGTTATGTAACTTACTGTGTTTACAAAACATGGCCACAGCTGGTCTGAACTAGTTTGTTTGAATTTCTTATTTTTTAAGCTATTCACATCAAACCAGAAACTCTTCATTGGCTTCTAAGCTATCTCTAAATTCCAGAGAACTTGGTTTTGTTAAAAAATATATCATGAGCAATTTCTGAATGTCTCTCCTTTTAATTTATTGTTGTCATCTATTTACAATCAGACATGTTCAAGATGGTCATTACCAAGCATTGCAGATTTGATGGGAACAAGATATTTAGAAATAAAAGATTCCTGCCAAAGAGAAACAAGCAACTTGCCTTCAAGGGCTGAGGTAATTTCCTAATATCAGGAAGTGTGCATTGGTCTGTTGATATTTATTAAAAACAGACATGAGTATCCATATAAGTTAAATGCTTGGCAGTTAGATTTGCTTTTGCAACACTGGTCTGTCTAGTTAAGTTTGTTCTCCTATACTAATCCTTCTGCCAATAGATCAGGGTTGAGCAATGTATGGATCATAGGCTGTATCCACCTCTCCTTTTTTTTTTTTTTAGAACCCTGAAGCTTCTTTCCAGGATTGCTTACCATTTACTGCTCCTGCCAAAATAACAAGCAGATAAGGTTAATGTGCCCCATTTTATTTTATTTTTTTAAGAAAATCACCCCATCTCTCAAAAGAGAGGAAAATGAGATTTAAAAATTCCATTCCCCTTAGTGATATATTATCATATCTCGCTTTTATGAACTCCTATTAGTGTTTTTATATCGCATACAACTTTTTTTACTCAGATTAAGCATGCAAAATAGTGTCAATATTCCTGGTGAGAATATTTTGAAGGAAGCAATTAGTCTAGCATACCATAGTTTATCTTTTGTCTTTTTCTCGCTTTACATTTGTGTGCAGAGAAAGAGTATCTGCAATAAGGTAGGCTTCCATAATGCAAAGCTATTCTCAGTCTTTTCAGTGATTGGAAGGGATGGTTTGTATAGCTATAAAATTACTGCAGAAACTATAGTCCACATTTTAATCTCCAAACATTCTTCATTCTATGTATGAGTGTTATTACTTGCATTGATTTTTATCACATTATAAAAAAAAATTGGACCACTTGTCACAATTTTCTCCCTCCAGCTTTGTCTCCTTTGTTGTAACCAATTTTTTATATGGCCCTATGTGTGTCATCTCTGTAGTAGGTAAGTAAACAGAGCCTCTTTATAATTAAATTACTGTGCAAGGGAAAAACACTTCTTTTTAACTATAGTTTTTATGGGTAAGTTTTTGAAAAAAAAATTAAATGCCTAAGCTACTCAGCGTGGTAGTTTTAAATGTGCTTCTTCTCGTGTCTTTCATTATTATTTATTAGGGCTGTTAAATACTTTGGATTTCAGGGATTTGAAGTACTGCAGAATGTGCAGTGAGGCAAAAGCAACTCCTGCCTCCAATTCATTAATGGACCTATGCCATTTTCCAGGATTGCATGGCTGCTGAGGAGAAGCTTCCAATCTTGGCAAATGAGCTATAAACAGGTGCTATGTTCATGTTCCCATACATTCTACCACTCCTGAATCTGAAGCATAATACAGCTCTATCATTTATTAGGGCTATGCAAAGCATTTAAAAGAACGGGGAAAGACTTTAAAACACTTGCCTCAGCTTTTCAGAGGATATGACAACTTTAATCTTTCAGGAAAGAATGTCTCTCCTGCACTAATACATTTTTAGAAGCACCTCTTTTAAATTCTTTATGCCAGCCTACTATGTATTGAAGATATGTTTAATTCCTTTGCTGTTTTAATATTCAATTTTCTAATTCACCTAGATTTATTTATTTAACGAATGGCATATCATACATGGACTAGCAATATATATTAACATTTCATCTAAATTAGTAAAACACAATAAAATATAAATGTTAGTAATAGCAATAACACTTAGACTTATATACAGCACTTTACAGCCCTCTCTAAGTTGTTCTATAGAATTAGCATGTTGCCCCCAACAATCTGAGTCCTTAGTTTACCTCAAAAGGATGGAAGGTTGAGTCAACCTTGAGCCGGTCAGAATCGAACTCCTGGAGTTAACAATGAGTTAGCCTGCATTACTGCATTCTAACCAATGCACCACCATGGCTCTTTAATGTTAAAAATGTTAATGGTAACTGTTAATGTTAATGTTAAAAAGATCTACGTTCAAATACCAATGTCTAGGCCAGGGGTAGGCAACCTTGGCTCTTTTATGACTCGTGGACTTCAACTCCCAGAATTCCTGAGCCAGCCATGCTGGCTCAGGAATTCTGGGAGTTGAGGTCCACGAGTCATAAAAGAGCCAAGGTTGCCTACCCCTAGTCTAGGCCATCTAACCATCGAAGCACAGCATCATTTATATTTAAAAAAAAAAACAGATACTGGATGGGTATATGATCTCAGCTTACAGTAGGTCATGATGTGATCTACAGTTTGACATTGGACCCTGCAGTCACACTGAGGGGAGGATACTATGCCCCATTTATACATAAAGGTCTGGTAGAAACTGTGTGAGTTGTAAAGCCTATTCAGGATTCTCCATCGCTGAAGTGGTAGTTCAAAGCTGGTACCCTTTTTTGTGGGTCATTTATATGTCTTCCTATGTCTGGGCATTCAGCAATCCATTTGTTTTTCCACTGGGAATCGATGTTAAAGTTGTTGGACAGATAATGTGCAAGTGCCAGTGGGGGCTTCCTTGATTTGAGTCTTCTGGCAGGTAAATGGGGAAGATCAGCATGCAAATATGGGAGTGAGTTGTTCATAGTTCACCTGGAGAACTCAGTTTACTAGAAAGATTGAAATATATTAAATAGAGATCATATTCTATGAATTGATTCAGAGCTGTCAGCCTGCTAGCAACACAGAAACGGTGGTGAAACATTTTGCTTCTTCTCTTAGACGTCCTTCTAAATATGCAATAGAGTTCATGAAGCCTCTTTGAAATGGATTTGAGAAATTTCAGAATGAGGGAAAATAAGGCAAACTTCCATTTATGTAGTGGAAAAGGGAATTTTAAGATGTGCAGTCATCCAAATGTGCAACTAATGCTATTTCCATCCCATATCTGGTCTGGAAATCTAACTAGAAGAGGTACCAGATAATCTGTCTCATCCAGAATCCTCATCCAGAGCTGCAGTGTGGCCACCTTCTCAACCACCATCCTTAAAAAGGAAGGTGAGAGACTGCACTAAAGTAATCCACAGCAGTAGCATCAGCAAGACTTTCTTGAGGAGGGAGTGCAGCAACACCTTTTTAAATGGTACTGAGAATAATTTCTCAAGAATGAATTGTCACTAGGACTCACCCATATGTCATCTCTCTGGTGACCTTGACCAAGTAGGTGGTCATGCATGCAGTCCCAAGGAACCTGTCCACTTCGTCAGGTCCCACAAGATCAAACCGTTCCCAAATAGCTGGCTAAGAACGTTCTCCGAGGATCTCCAATAGATCTGCACCATCCTTAATCTTCATCTGAGAATAGATCTGAGCAATTTTATCTCCCAAGTGTTGACAATTCCTCAGCACGGCCCTGAAGATGAAACTCGGAGTCCCTTTACCAAAAATGGTATTGGCTAGCCCTAAACAGGGCTGCCAGGGGCAGTCTGCATATGCAATAAGAAATATTTACCATGGCTGTGCTCACTTCAAATTTTATTTCCCAAGGGGGAATATTTGGAGACCATCAAAATACACTCCCAGCCTCTATCTGCAACTCTAAAGTTGCAGATAGAGAAAAGAAAACAATACTGCATGATTGTCTTTTGCAGTTTTTATGAAATCTGAAGAGATTCCTCAATTGAGCAGGGGCTGGATTCAGTGCTCTAAATCTGGACATCAATGCCCTTCAACTTGCTGGGGATTCTGGGAGTTGATATTCACATATTTTAAAGTTGTCAAGTTTGATAAACACTGCCTGAATGGTGCTTTTCAAACCTATTCTTCTATTCCACAGAAAAATTGACACTCTCCTCCAGTTGTTTCAAAGCCAAAAAGTAGTTTTACCATTGCAATAACAAATACTATTTTTATTGTTTGGTTTCCCCAAAATGAGATGAGATTTTCATTCCTGAGCACATGTTGGTTAAATTCAGAGTTAATTGCAATAAAGCATTTCATAAAAGACTGCAGTTGTGGCATTTGGGATATTTCCTTTGTGGGAAAGCCTACAAATGATCATGTAGGCATCAGGAAAAAATTATAAGCCAATTTCTCAATCCTGCAACTTATTTTGTACCTTATGCGTGTGTTTTATTTTGTAACTTCTTTGTTATTTTTCAATTTATTCAATTCCTTTTTCATTTTTATTTTTGTTCAATTCCTTTATTATTATTTTCTTTTTATTCAACTCCATTGTTATTTCATTTTATTCAATTGCTATTGCTATAATTGAGGTATTATTGTTTTATTTTAGTGTGATCTGCAAAGATTGCTGCATCAAAGTAAGTTAATTTATTTTCTTTTACTAATTCTCTCTGTTTTATTGACCAATAAGACATTGTGTAAATTTAACCCATATTTAAAAAGTTTTGTTTAGGACCCATCAAGCAATTAATGTATAAAACATTTATTAAATTGCCTGATGGTACTTTGTGTCTAACTGATGTTGCATTGTCCTATTTAATAGCATGCAGCTTCATTTTTGGTTTAATGTTAATAGTGAATTCCTTTTAATTTATATTAATTGATCTAAAGGATTCCATCAATTGGTTAAGGTCCCGGAATTTTTCTCTAGATGTCTATGCCAGTCAGACCTTGTGCACGCCTTCCACTTAACTTCTTTAAAATGATACGACTGGGCAAGGAAGATGATCAGGGCCTGCACAACCAAAAAGCTGCACAGCTTGAAGTAGAACAGTGGGATTCATCAAGGTGAGAGTTTGCCATGAGGATGTAACTACACCAATAATGCAGACATTCTCTTCTCTACCTTGCCATCTCCCCCATTTACTAGTCCATAATTAACTTGTATTGATAAGATGATGCTTATATGCTAAGACAGTGTTTCCCAAACTTGACAATTTTAAGGCATGAGGACTTCAACTCCCAGAATTCCACAGCCAGCAACGCTGGCTGTGGAATTCTGGGAGTTGAAGTCCACATGCCTTAAAATTGTCAAGTTTGGGAAACACTGTGCTAAGAAAATGATTTTTACGTCGCGTGATTCCTAAATGGGAAATTGGTATTGATTTTTATCTCTATAGATAAATTTATTATTTATTATCTATTTATCTATTAATTTCTAATAGAAACTAAACTACTGTGTCAGCTTCCCTTCTGTGTAGCAACCTTCCTGCCTGAATTAATGGAGGCCATCTCAGGGTTGTATCTGCCATCCCAGGGTTTGGCCTTCCTACTTGAAATGGCTTTCTGCGCAAGCATAGCACAGAACCTTATAAAAGAATCACAGAGACCATTGTGAAGTATGCATCCACTATTACAGGGGTTTCCAGCTGGGGGTGCTCGCACCCCTCCGTGGGTATGAGACGATATTCCAGGGGGTGCGAAAACTTGGGTTTTCAAATTATAGTGTGTATGCATAATTTGTTGCTGTTATTTCGAACTTTTGTAAGGGGTGCGAGAATATATCAGAAGTGTTCTAGGGGTGCTGGGTAAAGAAAAGGTTGGAAACCATTGCACTATTATGTATATTTAAAGGCCAAGTGGAATGTTTAAAATATGACTTTATATTATCTTAAACTGTGTTTGTTGAATAATCCATAATGGCCTGGCTTACACAGTATGCTATGCTATAAACTATGGCCATATAGGATCTCTGAAAGCTTCCAGAGACTCTCCAAAATAGTAATTTTAATGAGGTAGGAAAAATTAGTAACTTCTATTTCATCTGAATTCAGGAAATTACTGACTTTAATTAATTAACTATTTAAATTTAAATGTGATGTTTGTTAAATCACATTTAGTTTTATCCTGCCACTATCTTTTATTTGGTTTGCATCTACTTTTTTTGCATGTCCTAAAAAATTGAAAGTTGTGTGCCCTACCATAAACCCTATTTTAGAACTGAGTTCACATGTTGTGCTGAGTCAAAGCCAGGGGTAGGCAACCTTGGCTCTTTTATGACTTGTGGACTTCATGGCTGGCTCAGGAAGTCTGGGAGTTGAAGTCACGAGTCATAAAAGAGCCCATGTTGCCTTCCCCTGGTCTAAGCCAAACAAACTTTTATAATTTAGTGTGATACGTGAAGACAGTAGCTTTTAATTCCCATCATGTTGCAAATTAAATTACAGAGTAGAAAATTCTTTCGTTTTATTTTGTTTTTTCAAATTAGATTTTCCATTTTTAAAATTAAACATTTAAACATATATAATAATGATTTGGAAGAAATGTTGTGGACATCCTGTAAGCACGCAGCTTCTCTCTCTTTTTTTCCAGGCTTGTGTGGAAGTTATGCTTATTTGAATGAAGAGAAGAAAGTTAGCCTGCACTCATATGTATTCACCCATTTCTTCCAAAACATTTTTTAAATGTACACCTTTTCAATGGGTTCAAAACATATCAAGGTATGAAAAAGACATATTTGAAAATAATCTGAATTCTTCTCATAATTTCCAGAGTACCTCTTGTGTTTGAACCTCATTGCTTAACACCATCTTTTGCCTGCCGCATAAAAAGTATGATGGATTGGCCTTCTATGGACATCTGTATCAAATGTGAGCAATACCTTCTGGAGATGCTATCCCATCATTCGCCTTGTAGAAAACGGCGTCTGTCATGGACTGATTTGAAATAATGGTTTTTACTGCTGTGTAAAATTGGACAAATGTAAACCAGTGATCTTACAGATTTAAATGAATTGATCCTTGTTATTTTTCCCCCTCTCTTCTCACCCAACATGACAAATTCTATTAACCTGATCTGGAAAACTATACTTATAAAAAAATGTAAAACACCATATACATCTTTGATCTTCTTACTTTTAATCAATAAATACTTTCAAAAGCCATGCTTTAAGTCTTTTCGTCACAGTTTAAATCTATATATTTAATGTTAAACCTAAGTGGTTGCAACTGTACACTTAAAATAAGGGACTGTCATCAAGGAAGGATATAGAAGATTATCACCTATAGTGTAACTGTAGTTAAATGTACAGTGTTGTGAAAAGTTGAAATATTTAGATAAAGACATAGCCATTGCTAGATATCTGAGAATTTATAAGTTCTAACCTATATGGTCTGTATGGCAAATATTGGCAATACAGACCATAATGATAAGCCAATATTTGCTAAGCCAATATTTGTAAAAAACAAATTCTCTATCCTGATTCCCTCTTAATACTAAATTATTAAATGGTGGGATTTATACATCATATTATGTCAAAAACAAACTAGCCACATTAAAGCTTAGCATAATATGTAAAGCAGGCTTTGTATTAGAGATATGATATAACTCTGGAACAATTTTTTCCAAATCAGTGACTCAAAGGGTTTGTCTCCAACTTCTGTTGGATGTTGGATCTTTTTCTTTATCCCTTCTTCCAACTACTCATAAACTAGAGGGAAAAAATCTCTAGAAAGAATGAAAATGTAAGTTTCTTCTCTAGATGAAACATGTTAGAATAGCCTTCCTAAACTCGTGTCTCCAGATGTCTTGGATTTCAATTCCTGGCAACTTCAGCCATCATGAAGTTTAACACTTGGCTTCCTAGCTATCACTGTAACAAAACTTTAGAAAATACAAAAGATCTTAAGTCATATATTTTTCTCCACTCCTGAATTCCAGCAATTAAATAGTGTATTGCCTCAAAATACTATCATTACATGTTATATGATAAATTAGTACATGTTATCAGTGTTCTATGCAACATTTTCTAATTTATTTGTAACCCCATTTGACATAAATTTGACATAGTAAAAACATTGATTAGTGAATTCAAGGTTTTGACATTTTTTTATCATGTCCCAAAATCATTGGTGTAAAGTTGTTCTCTAGAACTGACATGGCCATTACAGCTGTGGTTCTTCATTTTAGAATAAGAAAGGATATTCTCCAGAGATTGCTTATCTATAATTTCCAGCAACCACAGCAGGACGGCTAAAGGGAAGGAAGGCTGAAAGTCAAATTCAGCAGATATCTTTAGAGCAGAACCAATAGTCTTTTGAGAAAAAAAATTCTTAGACAATCTAAGTGGTCTCAGTTTGATGATTAGACATGGGGAAAAATATCTAGCATAATTTGCTCCTCTGACAATTTGAGAATCACCTGTCCAAGATTTAACCATAATGTGCTAAAAGAACAAATTAAAATTATTTAATATGCCATGAAGATCTTTTTGATACAAAGTTAGTTTTATGAGCTTGTTGTTTGCAGAAATGCTTCATGTGTAGTTCTCCAGAAGAGGGAGCAACAAATCCTGAAATTTTGATTCATTTGCACCCATCAACACCCAGATGTTTAAATCAGTTTTAACCCTAACCTTTTCTGTTTCAACAAGAATGTAATATTGAAATTGTCAATAAATAGTTTTGTATGTGATATATATTGAATTAAAATATACTGAACAATAGGCAGTCTTTTGAATTACTTCTGAGATTAAATCCCATGATACATTTTTACACAAGTCTTATATCAAAGAAAGAGGAAATGGTTTACTAAGAAAAGCATTTAATAAAATTATGTTACTATACTTCACTCAATATTTTTATTTCCAAAGAACATGTGGAGTTATTCTTCGATTAATAATCTGCCTGCTGTTAGAGTGTAGGCCATCCACATGTCTATGAACACAGCATGCTTTTGCCTGATCTGTATTAATGAAAATATTTGTTTAACAACTGCCTCAATCCAAGGAACCTCTCACAGCATACAGTGAAAAATAATTCACAAAAACAAGTAAGCAAGTGAGAACACCAACATAAAAGTAAGATCTGATACAAAAACAAAATAAATGTTCTTGACTCTATCAGCCAGGGCCACTGAAATAAAATACATTTAACTAATTTTGGGAATATATTTTGCAGGATATATTGTATAATTCCCACAGGATGGGAATTATACAAACAAAGCAATGTTATCTTGTCCACACCCCATCTATCTTGCAAGGATGGGACATTTTCAACAAGGCCCTTTCTAGGTGACCAGATCAGAAAAGCAGAATCTATTCCAGTAAGCATTGAGTAAAGCATTACAAATAAAAATGGGTGCTTCGTAATGCTTTGAAGATAATAACCAGCAATTTGAATTGGGCAAGGAAGCCTACTAAGGTAGTGACTTTAATATAGATGTAATTGTACATTAGAAGCATCTTGCCAGCAGTCTCATAACAGCATTTTGTATCAGCTGCAGCATTTAGATTATCTTCAAAGGCAACATGACTAGAAAACTTTGCTAGTCCAAATGAGCGTTAAGCAGGGTATGAATTACTAGTACTCTGAATCTCTGCTTTTCAGTCTTTATAAAACTTCTTCATTGACAAAGCTCAGCTGCATAGTAGGGCTATGTAAAGCGCTGAAAATGAGCACTCAGCAAAGCACATTGGTGTGAACAAAATGCCACACCTTGGAACCTTAAAGCATCTGTATCCTGCAAAATTTTTCTCCATTTTCTCCTCATTGTGTACACACAAGTGACTCATGTCTACTTAGCATGATAGGTGTCAACGGAAGGTTTACTTTAGTTTAAAAAGAAATATAATGTATTTCCCTTGAAGGAGACTATTTTCATCACAGAAGACTCTGTTTCCTATTTAGCACTCCTTTAGAATGCTAAAACTCCTGAATGAGTTTATTTTATTATTTACATTGGATTACTTTTTAAATAAGGGACTGAAAAGTATACCGTCTTCTATACAGTCAATGAATTACATTTTCTCTGTAGAAAAATATTATTGTAGTTTGAACACTATTGGAATACAATAGTTTTCCCCAGTATAGGACTATGTTGTTTAGGAATTCTGGGAAGTGTAAAATGGATAGTACTAGATAGGGATGCCTGGAACAAGAATTTTCTCCAGGTGTTTCTCCAAGCTGTAAAAAAAAGGGAATACATTTGCACATGTTTACTGTGTAAATGGATTGGCAAATATTCTTAAAATTCATTATTACTTGGAAGAATCATTCTATATCTGTTTTCATATAGTTGGTGGCAAGATTGCTGGATTTTTTTTTTTTAAATGACTCCAATAGCTCTCTCAAGTGGAGGACATGATACACAACATATAGAAGGAAGCAATGCATTCCGTAAGCTCACTATTGCATGCAGTTGCATTTTCTTATTATTTTTCTTGGCTGCTGCATTTTATTTATCAGCCTTTAAATATTAGTGACATGGGGAAATAAATGGGTTAAATATATTTTATTGTTAAATTGTTTGTTTTCTACAACTCTTCCTTTTAGGCTGTGTGTAATTTCAAAATGCTAAGAACTAACTACTGTATGCAAAGTAGCATGAGGCAGAAAGAAAAATTTCCAATTATCAACGTGTCACAACTTTTTGTTACAGAAATTTCTATTCCATTGCTTCTCTAGAAATATCAATAGCACAAAGCTTTGCAAAAGAGCTTTGAGAAACACATTCTAGCTTGATTTCAGTACAGCTCATAACCACTTAGCTCATAAGCTCTCACACTGAGCTCTTTTGTTGTCTGGAGTTTTTATGAGACTGTATCTGCCAAACTAATCTATGGAGATAAATCAAGCCCATAGTCATGTCTGTTAAAGGCACTGTGAAGGCTTTACCCCCTTTACCATTTATTGTGACTAATTATAAAGAAAGTGTGGTGATATGGAATGGAAAGGAGGGATGGCAAAAACATTGTCTTTCTTAACATAGGGATTTTTTTTTCAGTACAGAATAATACCAGTTTCAGGCTAGCATATCAAACAGTGAGGTAAACTACCATACTGTTTTGAAAGCAAATGCTCTTAAAGGCACAGCCAGATGGCTACATCAATGTACAGTCCATCAATCCTTGAACCAACATAAATTTATATTAGCAGACTATTTCCTGCTCTAATTCCTATTCTGATTCAGGAATGAGGCTAGTGAACAATGCTTTTTAAAATAGATTTAATATGAGATAAGTTAAATATTTGCTGGCTGCTACCAGTGTTTTTTACATTCCCATGAAGCATCACTGCAGCAGGGAAAACAAGTACCCATCACTGTCCCTAAGATGAGCTGAGGCTCAAGAAGGAGGCAAGGCACACAGCAAGACCCAAGAGTAGCCCTCCCCATCTTGCAGATAGGTTGCAGATTGAAGATATGGCAAGTAAGAAGTGATCACTGCTAGGCCTTCCACGCTTCTCAGTATGGAAAAAGAAGCCTGCAAAGGTTCGTCAATATTTGTTATCCAGCTCAAACAGCTGAGGGGACAGAGATAATCTTGTCAATTTATATCAGACTACTTTGAAACACAGATTTAGCACTCTTTCAGAAGAGCACTGAACTCTTCTGCTCTTTCCCACATCACCTCTTCCCCAACACCCTGCAGCTGTTTTTATTGCTATTTTAAACCTAGGTTTTGTAGTCTCTTAAAAGAGACAATGGAAAACAATGGCTACTGACTGAGGGGAGGGATTATGCCTACAGTAGAGCAGTTACGGTTGTCAATAGAAACTGAACAACCTTTGACTGCATCAAGTATCCCAAATGACCATGGCAAAAATTGGTTGAGAGAAAAGAGAGACACTAGTTTAAAACCGGAACAGTTGAAGACAACTTTCAGCTGCATCAACTAGGGATAAGGATGAGATGACAGCAGTATCATGGAACATGTGAAATGAACCCATCATAGAGTGGCATGTTTGTACTGAGATGCAGAAATAGCTCTAAAAGAAAGAGGCACCCATTTATTTACTTATCTCTAAGATAAGGACTGTCCTCCCTCTGAATTCCAAGCTCCCTGGTGCACTAGTAAGATCTTTATTTCACTACTTTTCTAGCGTACTTTCAGGAATACACTTAATAAAGGAAAAGTGTCTTTTCAAGGGTTGTATATAATTTGATTTTATTTTTTGTTTTTGGCCTTCTGCAAAGTGATAAAGCATTTTGCTGTTCAGGGAAGGCAGGCCTGTGCTGGCTAGAAATAATGGGGATTGTAATGCAATCACATCAGGAGAACTCTAAGTAAGAGAAGGCTGATTCAGTGCACTGATATTACTTCTTTCCAGTGGTAAGATTCAGTTTGACCTCTGGATACTACTATACAGTACAGCACATTACAGGGGAAAACACTGCTTAAAAAGTCTTTAATATCAACCAGAACTGTATGAGTTTAGCTGCAAAGTAAATTGATAGAGCATATGGGAAGGAAAAACTTTAAAGCTATGCATATAGCTATGAAGGTACTCAAAAAGTGATTCTTGGAGTGTTAAAATTAACCACTGGTCATTAACTGAAGGAAATCCTAGGAATTGTGACATAAGACTTCTAGGGGCCCCAGATTGACAAAACTTGGGGTGTAAGGTTGAGCAGGATTCTGAGTTCCCTACCAATTTAGAGAAAGGACACATAAGGTTAGTATACTACAAGGACTGACAAAATCTCAATCAAGAGAATGATATTACTGCAGTGATCAAATGCCAATGTTTTTCTCCATCATTATTTTTTATAAAGCATTCGATTCCAACAAGCTTGCCCATCAGTTACAGAATCTACTATCTGCAAATGTAGTAAAACACAAAGAAATTCTTTTGGTTCAAAATCTGATTTTGTGGCCATTGTGGGAGATACTATTAGAATCCATGTTCTCTTATAAATGATTTTGAAAAGATACTAAGTTTTATATTATGAGGAAAATCTGGGGATTATGGTGCAATCTATCCTGTATCAGTTTACAATATCCCTCTCCCTTTATATTTACTTTACATACTTTATATTTGGCTACAGCTGCTGCATGAATAATATATTCCATGTGGCTGCTCTATAAAATAACAGCAAAATCATGCATCATGTGAGAGATCTGTGATTAAATTTCCTGAAAACTTTTGAAAAACTCAGTAACAGCTGTCCACAGGAGAATTTATGAGTATGAGAACAGGGTTTGGGCAATGACATTGAGAGATGGGATGTTTAACCTTTTCGCCTCCTCCATTTCCCAGATTGAAATCATACCTCCTCCAAAGAGCTAATAACCCCTTGATGTGAAACAAAAACAATTTGGGAGTACTTGTCTTTTTTATCCCAAATGAGGAGAATGGCAGCTATACAAGACTAATTTGGAGACCTGAAAAAGCAGTGATGCCTAAAAGTGTTAATGCCACTGTCTCAATTCAGTCTTTTCCCCATGTACTTTTATATTTGTTTGTTTTAAAGTATGAGTCACTGGACTCTAGCAGACAACCTCCAGTGCCATTGAAGTCCAGTTTTTCCCAGATAATATCACTCTCAGAGGATCCCAGATGCATCTGCAATAATGGGGAGCTCAAAGGGTAGTGATACCTAAAACTGTCAATGCCATTGTGATGGGGCAGGTGGCATAGCAGCTAGCCATGGAAATTCATTAAAAGAAATATTTCTTTTAATGTTGCATCGATCTTTGAGTCAGAAAGACACGAG